AGTCAACATGTTTTTGAGTGCATCTCGCTGGGGACCGGGTGCAGGAGCGCCTTTTGTTATCGAATGCAAAACTATTTAGCCATTGCATGTTGTTAATAATTTTAAAATCAGATTTCCGCAAGTTTGACGCAAACACGAAGGTAGCCATAGCTGCAGGAGTTTTGTTTTGTTTTTACTTTTTTCTCTGCTGTTTTGTTTTCTTGTTCATGACGTGTCCGTGTCTTGATTGCGGTTGATGCAATGCGCCCTTAAAGCCAGCGACAGCGCAGCAACAGAGGCTGCGACTGCGACAGAGGCTGAGACTGAGACTTTGACTGGGACTGGGACTGGGACTGGGAGTGGGACTGGGACCTGACAATTGTTGCGCAATTACACAGAAGACCTATGGGCACGCAACTTTTCGACGGTTTTGCGGCTGCGACTGCCAAAGAATATCTACAGAATGCGAGTCCAATCCCAACTCTTAAACTCGGATCACGCCTCAGAAAACTGCTGCTGTTGCTGTTGCTGCTGTTGATGTTGATGTTGAATGTGTCTGCTGCTGTTGCTGCTGTCCTCAGCTTTGGGTTCGTCCTCAATCACGCCATGCACATGAACTACTTTAGTCCGTCTTCGATTCCGTCTTCGACTCCGTCTCCGTCTCCATCTCCGTCTCAGCTGCTTTGCCCTTCGCTTCGTCTGCCTCGTCGTCAGTTGTTGTTTCTGCAAAATCAATGTTGACGCAAATACGTGTATGTAGAATCATTTTACCGACAGTTCGGACTTATTTCTTTCGCTACCGAATTTAATTGGATTTTCTCCCTGACTTAAGGGCTTTAACTGCTGTGGTATGTGGAAATCATTTCTGCCCCAGACACGCAATGCTTGGCTTGCAGCAGCAGCAGCAGCAGCAGCTGAATTAGCTTGTCGCAGCAGCACTGCATTAAGAACTTGCCCCGCGTGGCTGCCCCAACGCTTCCCCATCCGCAGTTAAATAAAAACTCACTTAATTTAGCGACGGCGAGGAGTTAATCATTGCATTTCGCCAGTCCCCGGCAGCCAGAGGAGGTCATCTCTGTGGGTGCGAGTCTGATATGAGATGAACATGGATTCTATTCGATTTGTCTATGGGTGGCTATCAAAAGTCAACCATTGGATGGGGCTGGATGCATCGTATATGACATTTCCATTCAAAATAATATGACATATGTTATAGAAAATGATATAAAACTACATTTTACGGTTATCGCAGTTAATTGAAGTTGCTTAAGAGTTACAATGAGCTTTAAAGCTTCTTAATTTTTTATTATTCACACAAGATTTTATTTGTTTATTAAGTTTGTTTGTTTCTATTAATAAATTTGTTTATCAATAAATTCGTAAAATTCAGAAGCAAAAATATATATTTATGTGTTTTTTACTGTGTTTTTTTATAGACTTGTAAAACTCCATTTGTGTCCGCATTAAAAAGAAGACCTCAATAAAAACAATCGATTAGTTAATATTCAAACTATAAGCTTTTGGGCACCTTTGCCATTTAGCTGTGGCCAGACAAAGGGCGGAACTTATAATTCTGGGCAGGCGCTAAGCACTTCCTCGGATGGCGGCCATTGTCGAGCGGCGACAACAAAAAAGAGAAGCCCGAGCTCATTTCCGCCGACTGTGGGTCGAAACGCCGACGAACTTTGACTGTAATTCCCCAAATGAGCTGAGATGTGAAATCTTCTATAGGCCGTTAATACCTCTGCCTAAATTCCGACTGCAGCATTAAGTATTTCTAATTACAGTCGTGTATAATTCTTAAAGAGCTATGAAAAAATACAAAAATGAGAAAAAAATATTCATCAGCGGCGGCAAATTTCATTTTTACGGTTCAAAAGGTTTGTGGCCATTGTGTTATTGCCCAAAGAGTATCGCTGGGGAGGGGAATACATATGAATACTGATGCGGATAGCCGTATAACCCCTTGTTTAGACCATTACACACACCCGCAATCGCAATCAGCATATGCATATGCCTACATATGGGTAAACATCACCGCGCCGCTAACCAAAGGCACAAAAAAAGCCCACAGCGGGCACTTCTTGTCTATGTCTATGTTGCAGACGGACAGACAGCCGGACAGGCGGACAGCCGGACAGCTGGGCCCGCCAAACAAACAAAAACAGGAAGCGTGGCTACCACAAATATGCGCGGGACTGCGCAGGAGGGCTTTGACTTGGGTTTGGCTTTCGGCTACGTCTTGGGTTTTGGGCTTGGGCTTGGGCATTGGGCATTGGCTGCCACTTGCATGTAGATACTAGATTGCTATCTGACTAGGAACTCTGCTACAGAAATAATAGTGAAATAATGTTAAAATAATGGCGGCGGCAACGGCGGCGACTGTGTGTCAGGCGGCCATAATTAATTCCCCATACCCGAAAAAAGGCGCACGAAACGCAATTAGGCGCGAGCATAATTTGTTGGCGACGCCGGCAGCGACACAATTGGCATGCAAATGGCGCATAGAGCGAGCTCTTTGTGAGCCCATTAGATACAGTGATAAATGCTTAATTAGGCGCGTAATTAATGTAATCAATCATGCTGGCCGAAAACAAAATGAAAATCAATCATCAAGGGGCCAGGAGGTGGCTGGCGGGACGGTTTGAATCGACCGAGCGCCATTATCCAATCTACGGCAATCAACAGTAGTGAGAAATAAGCCAGAAATAATGATTTTCTATAGCATTACAAACTCACACACATCCACACGTACATATTTTTTGAGAGGCTCATTCGGAAGCGTTTACATTCCAAATGAGAGCCTACAAATCGTCTTTAACCGTTTAGCGGGGGTTCACTGAGCGACAGTCGCCATCGCTCATTGGCTGTTGAGCGCATGCGAGAAATACAGATGTTAGAGCGAGATGACTGCTGTGCAGGCAGCTGTAGTGACATTAGTGTGACTGGCACGCCTCTGCCATATGTAGCGCTCTCACTCAAATTGAGTTCGACTCAAACTCAATTGAGTCCGTAATTATGACATGGGCATTTTGATTATGTAAGTTGAGCTACAGTGTGAAAATGAGAAAAAAAAACAACAAAAACACTAACTAAAGACGAATTTTGTGTTTCTTTCTCGCAGCCAAATTAAATATTTTTCAGTGAAACGCAGTCTTTTATCTTAGGAAATACACAAATGTTAATACTTGTAAGCAATTGTGCGCGTGCGTGTGTGCATGTGTGTGACTGTGTATATGTGTGTGACTGTTGGTGTATTTGCGGTGGCATTTTGCCGGTTAAAGTTTGCCTTTTAATTTGAATTATTGTTGCTTTTGCGGTGGCAAATTACAGCCCATTAAAATTGATTATTTTTCATTATCTGACAGAGGGCTAATTAGCAATCATTCGAGCTGGTAATCACGCCCCACTGAGGGCCTCCATGTTCTAATATATGGTTTCGACCAAAAATTGCCATGTTGTTGATTGCGGTGGTTGGCTTTGTGGAAGTGCGGCCTGTGCGACACTTTTGCTGCATTGCGACGCCTTCAAAGTGGACAATTGGCTGCCAAAACAAACCAGAGCTTCCGCTACATAACTGTATACATGTGTACATGCGCGAGGCAAGAAATGCGCCGTTTTCAAAGCTGCACAGGCCTACACAGAGTCACGCACGATGAGCGGCGCTCCATTTGCCATAATCACAACGGCGAGAACGAGAAACAAGAGCTACCGCAGTTCGTCCGACAGCCATTACTTAAAAAATACTCGTACTCAACATACAAACTTACAGACATACAGCCATGGGCCGCAAGGGCACGGCAATCCAAAGCAAAACCAACCAGCGTCGTTGCCTTGCTTACATACATACAAACATATGCATATGTATGTATTGGAGAGTGTAAGACTTGTGGAATGGGCAACGGCAACGGGAATAAGCTCGGGAATGGGCAAATAAATCAATTAGGCGCGTCGCGTCGTAGTGCATCGCCTACTGTCTGTGTAAGTGCGTCTCGCTCACACCGCTACTGGGCAGCAGGAGTAGGGTGGATGTAACACCATGATTTTTGCGCACTCGCTCTGGCCAGCAACGAAAAGTAACTGCATCCCACTCGCACTGATTGTGTGTGTTTTGCGGTGGGGTTGGTTTGAGCTTAATCGGTTACTGTTACTGGCTAGCCAGTCGCGAATTCTTGGCTTTTTTGCCTGGACCTGCCATTGATGTCTGCCTTAATGCGTTTTTTGCTCACCCTGGCCCGGCCTTCATGCAGTTGGCTGGCTCCTGCACAGCGGGCGCCCACGCTGAGCCATTGCAAAGCCCGTCCGCAGACAGCCAACGGACAGTCGGACGACGAAGTCCGCAGTGGCAGACAAGCAGCAACCATGAATGCCCTCATATATCATAATCAAAGTGTGCGATTAGCAGCAACGGCTGCCCGGGCTTCCGTTTGCTTTGCAAGTTTCCTACCAGCTCCCCCGTTATGTGTGCGCCAAAGCAAGCAGTTGAAAGAAGAAGAAAAAAACAAAAAAGTTTTACCCTGTCACACATACGCCCCGTATTACCAAACAAAATCACTCATCAATTAAACTGGCCGAAAAGTTTCTGAGCTGTTCGGCAGCGGCTGAGCTGCTGCTGTTGGTGCTAAACAAAACAGCGACTGCTTAGGTAGTCAATTAATTATTGAACTTTTACTACTGTTTGAAAACTGAGACTCGCCGAAACGCTCAATTGTGCGCTCTCTCGCACGCACACACTCACTGGTTCACTCACTCACTCACTTACACACGTGCGAAAACGAGTAAAACAAGCAGAGCCCAATGCTCGCTCGATGGCAACCCCAGCTACAAGCAAACCAACAGCGACAGTGGAAGAAGAAGAAGCAACAACAATCGAAGAAGAAGAAGAAGCTTGAACTGTAACAGACCAGACCCCGATCAGCTGCTGCAGAGAGACAGGCAGGCAGGCAGGCGAGCAAGCAAGCAAGCAGGCAGGCAGGCAGGCAGAGGCAGCAAGCGCGCCGAGTCAGTTTCTGTCTCAGTCTCAGTCGACTCAGTCGGCGTCAGCCAACAGCGTGAGTGAGTGCGCGTCGAACGGGAACGTAGCCCGTTCGCGTTCGTTTATGTGTTCTGTGCTCCTCTCGAGCGTGTTTGACTGTGTGCATGCGTTTTCATGTGTGTGCATGTGTGCGTGTGTGAATGCTCAAAAGGCCGACGGTTAAGCAAGGCCCATGTATAATTTGACTACAGCCGAAATTATCAAAAAAAAATAAATAAATTGCATTTATCAAAGCACGCGCTCAAAATTCCAGATAATTGAAAACTTTTAATCGGCTGCTTAAGGATTAACAAACGTTCTAGATAACTTAAAGCGGTTACTGTGTTATTTTGAGTTATTGTTGTGTAAGTGGGGCATGGCTACAACAGGGGCAACTGCAGCCACCACAAGGACACCCAGCACAACAGCGGCTCAAGCGCCAGCCGTCGATTATTCAACAGCCACGCCCACTTGCACCACCGCCACAGTAGTCATGCCCACTGTAGGCATAGCGACTGGCTTGCCCCTGGGCATGGCAGCTGTGCCCCATCTGCCGCTGCTGGGTGGCTGCTTGGACAGCGCGGCCAACAAGGCCATTGCAACGGGCAGCGGTGCACAGCCGACGGCAACTGCAAATCCCAATCTAACGGCCGTTCTACCCACACCCACAGGTGAGTCTAACAATTGGGCATTGCTTGACCCTAGCCCCACAAAAGCTCGCCAAATCTTACCCGGCTCAGCACCTTGCTGGTCCAAACAATTCCCTGAATTGTCAAGGATATATGTAGCTGCCAAAAAAAAGAGCCCAGGCGACAGTCCCAAATTAAAAATTCCTGACCGAGCCTGAGTCTGAGACTTGGCCATTGGAAAAGCGCAATGATTTGGAAATTTCACAACAGCAACAACTACAACAACAACAACAGCAGCAGCAACAACAATAAGTTGACTGCCAACTGTTTTGGTCTTTCGCACATCAGTGGCAATTTGTTTTGCACAAGTATGGGTTGTCAAATAAAATTAGTTCATGTCGGCGGCCATCGAGTGGCCACGTCGAGATGCGACTGCCACTGGCGGCGTCGAGCGCAAATGCTGGATGGTTGGAGGCGCGGCGGTGCAGTGGGCGGGTGAGCAGCGAATGTGGTTGCAGGCCAAAGCTTTGACTTGTCTCTAAAAGGTGTTGGAAGTTGCACAATAAATAAATAATTATAAAAAGAGCACAGAGACGGAAAACCAGCAAAGGCACACACTCACACACGCACACACACACACACACTAGCTGCGACCGGCCTGAGCATGGGTACATGGCATACATTGATGTTTAAGCACTGGGCAGAAACCATACTTAAGGGTTTCGAATTACTTGATGCGTGTATTCGCATTATTCTTAGAAAGCCGACCGTATAAAAGGTGTGCACAATGATTTTCAAGTGTACATAGCCCCGGCTAAACCGATGCTCATGATGATGGCCTGCATTTGAGTGCCATCCGCTTGGTTATGATGTTTATGCCATTTATGTCACCCGACTTTGAGCTATGTGCCAAGCTCTGAGCCACTTGACCGGAAATTAGTTGAGGCAACCCTGCACGCTCTCTCAATGCCCATCAATCCCAATGATGTATGGAAAGAGATATTAGATTTTGATACACATATGGCTAAGATGTAAGCTAAATCAAGCACATGTAAAAAAAAGGAATTGGACTCGAATATACTGATCATATACTACTAAAAATATAATAATAGGTCAGAGAGTGGAACCTGAAACTTTCAAAATCCAAAGTGAATCCATAAATTATAGACAGTGCAGTTCGACTAACTTCCTGGCCAACTATATATAATGTTGTTCAAGCATATAGAACATATTTTATGAAACGACAAAAAGTCTCCTGCTTAACAAAATTTGTTTTATATCATTCTATAAATGATGCAGATAAAATAAGAATGTCCCAAAGAGCGCAGGTGTTTTGAGCTTAAAAATAGCAAGTCAATATTATTATGCCAAATCGAGCGATTGAGGACAATTATAATCAAAATAAATAAAGAAGTGAAGTGAAAAAATACTCTCTAAAAATAAACACAGCAAAATAAAATGAATTTACAATTGACGCACAATGAAAATGCCAAAATTTTATGCTTAGACGATTCAACTACAAATTTGATTCATAAATTTTATAAATTTTATATGAGTTCAACTTTGCACACAGCTCGTATAAGTAATATAGACACTTACAAACTCTGTTGGTAATTAAGCCTTAATTAATCCAGCTGGCTGGCAAATCTCATGGCAAGTCGATCATCTCTCTAGCCGAGCTAAACGTGTGAAGATCACAATATTACGCATTAAAAACCAGAAGCCCCAACGAGTAATGTGCTGCGCGCGACAAACAAGATCAGCGAGCAGTAACTGTAGAGGCAGTGGCAGAGAGAGAGAGAGAGAGAGAAAGAGCACAGCGAGGATCTGCTGGAGTGGCAGAGCGCTTAGTGAGGGCTGCACAAAAAGCGGCCAAGTTTAATTTATATGCAGTGCTGGCAGCCGCTGCGGCAAAAACTTTACCGGTAGCAATAAATCAAACTATCAATTGAATTCCGAGGCGATCATCACTTGTGTTCGCCCTCTCTCACTCTCACACTCTCTGTCTGTCACTCCTTTGCTCTCGCTCTGTTGCGGCGTCGCTTCTTGTTACAAGCTGCGCCAAGTCGTGCGATTTTAAGCCGATTTTGCAATTGACTGAGGTGCGTCGAGGCAGCCGTAGCTGTCGCATTGCTCGCTAAGATCGGTAGTAAATCATTTGCTGTAGCCAAGTTGCAAGTGGCAAGTTGCACGTTGCTAGTTGCCAGTCGCAGACTCAGCCAGCTTTGGCCACAGCCACTGTTGACATCCGTGGCATAAGCGCAGGCAGCGTGTACTCCTCGTCTCTGCTGATTGGGCTGGTCGTCAATTGTTTGGAGCGCAGCATAAATCAGGCATAACCATAACCAAGCGGCGGCAACAATTGGTGCAACATGCTGGCTGTGCAACGTGTGCAAATTGTCGACTTGCCCCCAAGCAGATCAGCTACACAGCTTTAATTAGCCCAACTAGCGGCCTAGTCGAGGGTCGCCGGGCAGTTCGCATCGAGCCAGAGCCTGCCTGTTGGGCATACCAACGCATCTGCAACTGGCTAAATGCCATTGCCACACACGCAGTGGTGCAGCGGTGCAGGCATGCCAAAATGGAAAAAATAAAATAAAATAAAATAAAAACAGAGGTGTTAAAATGTGTGCAGTTCTCGCGATCAGATAAAATGTCAAAATGAACATAAAAGCTTCTACATCTGAGGAATTGCTAATCGGTACAGCTGCCCGAAGAAGCAGGCCATGCTCGATCCTAACAAATTGCCAGCGGAGACATCGGGAATTTCATAAATTCCAGCTCAAATTAGCTGTTGGCAGTTGGCAGTCGGCAGTCGGCAGTAGTCGGCAATCGTTGGCCGTGCCAAACTGATTCATGGACGGGACGGTAATGGACCACACCACGTCCACTTGACACGCCATTATGACCATAAACGTTGACACTTCCGCCAGCAAAACGGCAAAGCTTGTAGCACTCGTCGTCTGCGCTGTGCCAATGTCTTCGCTTCAGTCTTGACGTGTTCGATCAAAAACAGACCGAAATTTGTCCAATCATTGTCACTGCCCATCCCGCCCGCCTGCCAGCCGCCCTGTCCTGTCCACTTGACTACTACAAATTTCTTGGTGTTTGGCTGCCATGCGCGGAATTCTGGCAGCAGCTTCGTTTAAATTCCAATTGACATTTAATGATTTTGATCACCTCTCTCTGCCTCTCTCTCTATCTCTATCTCTTTCCCCTTTTCTTTCTTTCAGCTCTGACGCACAACCACTGCCCGTCTACGGCGGTGCCAGCGGCTCCCACGTTGAGCCTCTTCGGCAGCTCGGGCAGCTCACCTCAGGGCACAAATCTCAGCGCTTTGGCCTCCCAGCATCGGCTACTGGAACTATCAAGGTTTGGCCTAAGGGGCTACGATCTGGCACAACATATGCTGTCGCAACAGGGCGCTGTATCCAAGCTGTTGGGTAAGTATTTGGGGGTCCATAGGGCTACTGTATGGGTGGGCGGTTGGGTGGTAGGGCGTGCAAGTCCAGCCTGACCAATGCAATCAGCGACAGCGTCTGCATGACGCGGAACCACAAAACACGCGCTCCAAATCCAATTGCCATGTGTCCCGCTGAATTAGGGGCTCAAGCGTCTGTAATCGATTTGGTCAACTACTGTAACTCCCGGCGAGACAAGTTGGCCGGCCACGTATACACGACAAATCGATTGCACCTTACCATGCCCAATGCCTCGACACCTGGCCAATAGCCAATGCTCAACAGCGAGCCGTCGCACACCTGTTGCCAATTACACACAACTCTTTGCGCTCCAAATTGCAATTCTGCGCGCCTGGCGTCAAGCTAGACCGAAATTCCAAGGGGGCACTCGACCGCGGGAGGTTAGCTGTAACTTCGGATAGATTAAAGCCAAATGACATAGGCCAGGTGTTGGCTGCAATACTTGTATCCAAGCCTCAATTGGTTCCTTTGTCAACATGATCATCCCACCCGAGCATGCTAATTAAAATAAATCTTTCGAGAATCCACTGCTCTTCCACCTCGATCACGAGTTAATAAATGCGCTGCTCAATTCGTTCACTACAGCCATTCATCGCGCTATCTCTGAATCATACTCACAAACTGTCTGATCTGTGTGCAGTCGGTGGGGCCATAACTCATTCACAGTGCTCAAATAGACGACGAGGGGCGTGGGAGGGCAGTTGGGGCTTTGTCGCTAGTTAATTTAAGCTGTGTAAATGTGTAAATAATTTCCGTTTTACTTTTATTTTTTTGCAAACTCTAATTTACATAAGTGTATAGAGTATAGGTACCTTTGCCACTCTGACAATGTGCAGTCAATCAATGTGTGGCATACATACTATTGTTAACTACACTGAGAGAAATGCAACGGAAATGACTAAAGTTGTGCAAAAATTGTGCTCACTGAGCGAATTCTGTAGTAGGCATAGCCAGTAGCAAAGATATTGAAAATATTAGCAGACAATTATTGAGTAGTTTAGTATAATCTGATATATCAAAATGTTATTGGGGCAAAATACATTCAGGCTGTCATTTTACATCTTCAGCTAACATGATTGTGTTTATATATTAGTATATATATCTTTTCATCTTATATATAAATTCATGAAGCCCCTAAAATAATCACAGACTTTAAATTAGCGTTGCTTACTATCTTCTTTCTATCTCTTTATCTTTTTCGCTATAGTTTTCTATATCTCTGTATATGTTTCTATATATGTCTCTCTCCCGCTCTTTTTCTCTCTCTCTCTCTCTTTCACCCATTCACACTCTCTCATTCAACTTTACCACTCTATAGCAATCGCTCACCATCTCTCTCTCTATCTTTCTCTTTCCCTATCCCTCTCTCTCTCTGTTTATTTCTCTTCCTCTCTCCCTCTCTCTATCTCGCATTCTCACTGGTCGTTATATATTCAAACTCAGAAGTAATAATGATGTTCGCCAAGCCTGACAGAGTCGTTCCATTCCCCTTCCGGCATTCCTACCTGTCTCCCTCTCTCTCTCTCTCTCTTTCTCTTTCTCTTTATTTATCTATCTCCATCTCTTTGTATATATATCTCTATATATCAATTTCTCTACGTATCTATCCATATTGCTGCCCTTCTGCATATTTTTCCCCCTCAATTTTTCTGGAAATGTTATCGCTTCCCTAGTTTAACTTGATTATATATATATATATATATATATATATATATATATATATATATATATTTTTTTTTCTATAATATATTATGTATATATCATATTATAATATCAATAGACTTTTTCTCTAGGTGTGACCCTTATTTTCTAACGCCTAATTCACAAGATAAACAGCGTGCGCCTGTCACTCGCTTCCGACAAATTATCAGCCAGAAGCTGCGCTGATGCTGCTGCTGACATTGTTGTTGTTGTTGTTGTTGTTGTTGTTGTTGTTGTTGTGAGTTGTAGAATTGTGTCGTAGCCAAATATTCAAATTAGCGCGCCATTGAATGGCGGAACGCGCCTTCAATTGTCTAGTTAGTTCGTCAGTCGGGCAGCAGGTAGCGCGCATTGTGTTGGGTCGCCGGCGGGCTTTTTGACCAGTTCGAACGCCCACACGAGCCCCCAGTCGACGCTAGTTTGATAATGTGAAAATTATGCCAACAGCCCCAAGGCAGGGGTCAGCGTGTGATAGTAGAATTTTGCATAAAAGCGGCTTTGGATTCAGTTAATGTTTCTGTTTGGTCTTCTGCATTGCAGGCACTTTGCGGCCGCCGGGACTGATTGGTGGCTCGAAGCCAAAGGTGGCCACGCCGACAGTTGTCTCCAAGATCGAGCAGTACAAACGCGAGAACCCAACGATATTCGCGTGGGAAATACGCGAGAGACTGATTAGCGAAGGTGAGTACCAAAAGCGGGGAACAATGCCAATGCCAAAGCCAAAGCCAATGCCAATGGCAATGCCAGCAAACAGATGGGCAATTGGCCAGGTAGCAGGGATCAGTCTACGGACAGTTGAGCTAATTAAAATTAACTGATGGCAGCCCCCCCAAAAGCGAAATTGCAGCAGGCATTGACAAGCCACAGCATCAATGAATGACTGGTCCGAGTGCGTCTGGGCGGGCATAGGGTTACGCGCAGCTTCAACTCGCCAGTTGAACTCGGTTGCATCTACAGCTCCTTGAGCAGCTGACAGCATCAGCTTGATGTGTTTATGGTGCGGTTGTCAGTACTCGAGCTCGTAATGCGAATTAGCCAACAAAAGAGCTGCGTTCCTCGAGAGTTTTGTGGTCGCAGCCTCATTTAATGTTGTAAGCGACTGCGATGGCAGCGAGTGTGTGTGTGTGTGTGTTTGGTCTCTGTGGGAGAGGGAGATTTATCGATTGGCTAATTTATGAACATCCGCTCCTGGCCAGAGTCAATTGATATGTAAATGTGCTCACATTTGTGTCACTCAACGTTGAATACGGCAGATACCCGCCGCACCAGTTGCCTCGCTCTGTCAATCGCTCGCTCTCTGTGCGATGAATCGTCCGATTGCCATCGCTCACATGAGACGCTCGAACACACAGCAAGACGAAGCTGGCTACGACTGACTACTGACTACTCGAAATGTAGATCGCAATCGCAACTGGTCTGCTCATTACAGTCAATCTAATTTGCGTCAGCCGGCATTTGGGTTCATGAGCAGGTCACGACGCACTGCATCACTGCATCCGGCGCCAAGATACTCGTTATAATACTGCATCTCTCTCTCTCTCTCTCTCTGGTTGCTCAGGTGTTTGCACGAATGCCACTGCGCCCTCGGTGAGCAGCATCAATCGCATCCTGCGCAATCGCGCCGCCGAGCGCGCCGCTGCGGAATTCGCTCGAGCTGCCAGCTATGGCTATGCTCTGCATCCCACGCATCCGCATTCGCATCCGTATACGAGCTTTCCCACCTGGCCGGCCACGTTGCCGGGTCATCATCCGCTGTGGGGCGCTGTGCCGTTAGCCGCCAGCGGCGCCTTGCCGAACAGCAGCAGCTACAACAGCGACGGCAGCTCCAATCCGAATACCAACAACAACAGCATCAGCGCAGGAGGCGGCAGCAGCGTGGGCAGTGGACGTTTATCGCTGCCAGCCCTATCGCCGGAGTCGGGCAGCCGGGACAGTCGTTCACCCGACGTGGATGCCAATCGCGTGATAGGTAAGTCAAGAGGGCTGCTTCCATTCAGCTGGTCTTGTGAATGAGCTTCTCCGATTTCGCAGACATTGAGGGCGAGGACAGCGACTCGGAGGACAGCGATCAGCCAAAGTTTCGTCGCAATCGCACAACGTTCAGTGCTGAGCAGCTGGACGAGCTGGAGAAGGAGTTCGAGAAGTCGCACTACCCCTGTGTGGGCACACGCGAGAAGCTGGCGGCACGCACGGGACTGAGTGAGGCGCGGGTGCAGGTGAGTCTTGTCTTATCCGAAGGCCGTGTACGATGGACTGTGCCCAATTAGACTATTTTATTATTTTGTTGCCCTACTAACCACACATCGACATTGACATGGACACAGAGACTCGCTCGCTCCTTTTTTTATGAACTAACAAATTGTCTCTCCGTTGATTGATCAATTAGGTTTGGTTTTCCAACAGACGTGCGAAATGGCGGCGTCATCAACGGGTCAATTTGCTGAAGCAGCGCGGCTCGACCTCGACATCGCCCATACCAGCTCCAACGCAGCAGGAGCCCAGTCTACAATATGCTACCCGTTCCAGTGCTTACCACTGCGAGGGCAACAACAACAGCAGCAGCACCACCAACAACAGCAACACCGTCACCACCACAAGCTTGCCAGCCACCACCACCCACACGAGCATAAGCCCTACGGCCCACGACCCCGACCCAGTGACAGCAACAGCGCCGCCGCCTGCCTCAATCACAGCATCAGTTCCATTATTAATGGGCGGTGAGCATAGCGCCTTTCGAGCTGCCCTGCCCTCTGCCTCCGCCTCGTCGGCGTCGGCGTCAGCGTCGGCAGCTGCATTTGCGCTCAACTTTGCCCGCCAGTACATCTGGCGACATATGGGAGGAGTGCCGCCAAAGGAGCCCCAAACGGAGCTGGACGAGGAAATCAACGTGGATGCAGAGACAGAAACGGAATCGGAGGCTAACTAAAGAGTGCAATCAACCTGCTGCAATTCCAGCACCAGATACATACATAGAGACATATATGCAAATGCCCACATCTAATCCCAATCTAAGAATCATGCATGTCTATGGATTTGTCAGTTTCCTATCGCTTTAAACCGAGAATTTAGTGCAATTTTTAACTTAATTTATTCAATTTTGCATTCCAAAACACGTGCTGAGTACAAATAAAGACGGAATCGATGCATGCGATATATCGTTATATGTCGTATATGTATAAGACAATATATAAGACAGTGCTATAATTGGTTGGGATGTGTGGGTGGTGGGAGAAAGGGAGAGGCAGAGAGATGGGAGAGTTGAGAGTGATGAGAGGAACGCATCCGGGCGCATTCATATATATCGATACATGAATATATCGATATATATATATATATATGCATATTTATATATATAATTTGTTAAATTCTCACGGGTTTCTTATAATTGGTTGGGAATTCAACAGTTGACACCCATTGATGTGAGAGAGAGAGAGAGAGAGGGATAGAGAGGAGAGGCTGAGCGTGCGAGTGAGGGAGCTCGACGCGCATTCAAAAATAACTCAAGTGGACAAATCTGACAATTTTGTGGCTACCAAGACGGTCAGCAGCAACAGCAACAGCAACTGCCAGAGCAACAGCTACAAATATAAATACAAATACAGAGGCTCAGAGTCAGAGAGAGGCTCAAGTGGCTGCGAATGTGCTTGGTGTTTGGTGTTTGGGCCAGGGTCTGGGCTCGCGGAGTCGGCTCTGGGCCTGGGCCTGGGCCTGGATGATTAATGTGGCTTTAATTACATGCGCTGAGAAGTCGTCGACGTCACCGTCCTCGTTGTCGTCGTCAATGTGTATGCTCGGATGGATCACTATAATTATATAGATGGCCGAATTAAATTTTAATTTAACGCCTGTCAAATCAGAAAACCACTTGTATAATCGTTCGCTTAAGCGAGCCACAGCTCCGTGCTCCGAGCTCCGAGCTCCGCGCTGGCTCCCAAAAAATCGACTTGCTCGACTCCCTAACAGTTATTCATTTCACTTTACTTCGTTTACTGTCCGACCGCGTTCATATTGAAAGACAGAATCAATTGAAGCCACAGCGCCAGCTGCTATTATTGATTGTAATGAGCCACCGAAGGCGTCAACTTCACCAGCTCGACGCGAATCCAGCAAAGAAAGAAACGAAACTTAAATGAAAGAAACCTCTTGCACCATCCACAGAATGAAAACAATTAAATCCATGAAATTTACATACCTGCGGCTTTCGATGAGTCGCTGAAAAGCATTGTGCTGCCCAGATTCATGAATCTATACATATATTGGGTACAGAGCACGCTTAACTACAAAGCGTGCGACTACAGTGGCTGTCCGATGTGGCCCAGTTGGTTGGCTGCTGCTGCAACTATTGACTATCAGAGCTGGGTTATTCAACAAAGACTTTATGGGAATCACTATTCAATCAAATTCTGGCTATTTACCATTGCAAAAATCTTTTAGTTTAGCTACCTTAAAGTTATCCAACTTAGTCTAGGGGGATATATGGTGAAGCTGATGTCGGACGTTTGCCTTCGGAATTATCATAAGAACCTTTAAGAGCCCAATTAACATTGCAAAAACTTTAGTCTTAGATGGACAATTTGTTGCTGATAATCTTGATTTTAAATATGATAAAGATTATATCAGTAGCTGGCTAACTTTATAAGTCGCTTAAGATCCTTCATTCTTAAGATCCTTCATTCCAAGACTCTCAGCAAGTTAGCTCCGATCATTCACTCCAGGACAGCATATATCTGTAGCACTAAGAGAATTGATTCCCAACAACTGTAATCACGCACAACATAATTGACCTCTTATCGAGTATAACTAAAGCCAAGACATAAGCCATGACAGGTCAGCAAGCTCGTCAAGGCTCATGATATGCAAACAGAGGCGTCTCCAATGAGACCAGGAACAGATTTTGAGCCAACAACACGTACATACATATGCGGATATATATGTATATACGTATATACATATATGAAAAGTAAAGAACTGAGCTATCCGCGCATTGGAATGTCTCTGGTTGCATCCTTGCCATAGCTGTGGCTCTTAATTGCCAAAGGCGTTAGTATTAAGTGGTTTTCGTGCTTATTATAAATATCTCTTAATTTTTGCGATCCTCTCAGTGTGTGTGTGCGTGTGTGTGTGAGTGTGTAAGTGTGTATGGCAAAATCTTGAAATGGCAATCACCGACTGCTTTAGTCTTACTCCAGAGCTAACCAGACAAGTGGAGGACGTCGTCGCTCCTGTCGTCGGCTTTGTTGTCATTATGTTGTGTTATTTGGCACGATTTGTTGAACTAAGGAGCTGACGCTGAATCGTCGTCGTCGTCGTCGCCGTCGCTGTTGTCGCTGCTGTCGTTGTCTGTGCTGCACAGACCTGTGGCTGAGGTTGGGGCTGTGCGCGGTTGCATGATGCTGCCGATCGATTGAAAATCGATCAGCAAGCGATCGGCAAAGGCGGCAATGAAAATGGGAACTGGTCAACCGGCAGCAGTAGCTGCTGTCTCCAACTTCAACTCCAATTCCAATTCCCATTCCAACTTTGACTGTGACTGTGCTGTAAGTGTAAATATCATCCTTGAGTCTTGCTCTTGCGGCAGCTTCAAATGCCCGCAACCGTTGTTGCATGGTGCACGGTGCATGGTGCATGGTGTTTGGGAGCGGGAGCCAAACTGGCGTCGCCTCAGTGGATATAATTGTCGCATGCAACATCGCGGCTATCGCACACATTTATACTTTAGCACGATGCGAAAGAACACGGAATTGGCCAGGTAGGACAGGTAGACATGAAAGGTAACGCATTGCGCTGCTTGACTTGGCTTCGCGTTGCTTTCGCAGCGACTGAGAGAGAATAAGTAATTCACTTAACGCTTTAATATCGCTGATAAATGCCACAAGGATTCGCCAACACATTGCCCACTTAATTGGTGCAATTTTCAACGATTTTATTTTATTTGCATGTGTTTTATTTAAGGACAAGGCGAAGAGAGCAGAGCGAGAGGAGTGCCATCTGTGTGCCTGAGCAGACTTTATGGCAGCGGCGTGCGAACCGAACTGTAGCTCATTTACATACCTTCTCGTTTGTCCATAGCATGTTCTCTCTGTCTCCCTCGCTCGCTGCCTCTCGCTCTCCCTCTCCCTCTCTCTCTCGCTCTCGCTCTCTATTTATATTGATCGCGTTCGCATGGCACATTGGAGACAGCTGCTGATTAGTAAATGCTGCGGCAAATGAAGTATGAATCGCACAATTGGACCGGATGCCGGGCACAAGATGCGACGCACATGCTTAGCCAAGATCCAGGCTCAGATCCAGCATTTGGCATCGACGTCTATGCGAATTTAATGCAATGGCTAAGCCTATAATTTGATCGTATCCACACTATAACTCAAAGCCTGGCCAAAGCTGGTGCAAAATGCCCAGTGGCAACGACCACGAGGCGTGCCCCACACCAAGTGCAGGGCAGGCAGTGACAGAGCGCGTATAATGGATGCGCAGCAATGCCATTTCTGGCAGATCGGGCTGTAAGCAACGGCTTCTGATAAGACCACCAGCAACCAACATTAACCACCGGCCACCACCGACCACCGCCAAGACTGCAGTAGTTGTTGAAAGCGTCGAGTGACCAGTGGTGTGGAGCCAAAAGCCCAAGTTGCGCTCACTTAGCGGGCATGCGTCATAACTTAGGCTGCGGTCAGTGGTCGATCGGATTACCCGGCAGGCATTTCAATTCAACACATCCTTTGCTCGCCTGCCCAATTATACTACGGAGCCACTGCCACGCCCATACCAGCGCCCATCGCTTGCGCAAGGGGCGTGCGAGATGGCGACGCAAATTATAGCAATGCGCTGACTTAAATAAATGCGCAACTTTTAAAATTGAAAAGAAATTAACGGTGGGCAGTGCATCGATTGCCTGGGCGCGGCTCCACTGACTTTTCAGATTCCCATCTCTAACTGAATGGCAAAAATATTGTGCATAATTATATGCTAATGCTGCCATTGAATTATGGCTGTCTGCATGCAGCTATTCCCTCCCTCTCTCTCTCTCCCCTTCTCTGTCTTACTTAGCTGTAAGCCTCTGTCCTAATATCATTGAAAATTGCTGCCCCCGGCACCATAGCTGGTGGTTTTAAAGTAAGTGTGACCACACACGGTCCGTTTATATTCGAATCACTCATGTAATTGCACTATTTAACTAAAATAAATAATAAATTGCAAAGAAATTAGCGCTCAGTACAGCGATGGCCAGGGCGCGGCATCATTGACTTCCCATATCTGACTGAGTGGCAAAAATACTGTGCATAATTATATGCACACTCATATCCACATTGATTTACTACTCTCCACATGCCGTTATTTCCATCCCTCCCTCCCTCTATACCTTTCTCTCTCATTCATCCATACAGTAAGCATCTGTGTCTAATAGCGAAGGAAATTACTGCTCCCGGCGCCATAGCTGCTGGTTGGATTTCCAACAACGGGACCACACACGGCTCGTTTGTTATTGGAATCGCTCATGTAATTCCAGTGTTTTTCATTTACCGACAGTGGGATTGATTATTGTTAGGAGTGTGATAAATCTCTGTTTTTTATTAACTTTCGGCATGACGCGGCGGAATTTGTGCTTCGAGTCGGAAGAATGAATGAAATTAATATGAAAATCAGATCAGCATGATTAGTTATAATTTGTAAAATAACACAGCCTTTACGTAGATCAAAATTCAACAATAATTAATTAAATTTGTTCGAGTGCTGATCGAAAAGGTATGCAAAAGCAAATCCAGGTAACAATTGATTTCAAATGTGGATTAAATATATATATATATATATATATGTATATATATATATATATATATGTATATCTTTTTATAAGAGTATGTCGCTAAGGACCTTATCGTAAAAAAATTTGGTGAAAGTAATTAAATATATTTAAATAAGTTTCTTACGTTACGTGCATTACGTATTTCAACATATGTAAGGATGGATGTACGTATTTTTACATGTACGTATTTTTTACTATGTATAGTATTTTCTTGGTCTCTAATTAAAGCATAGTGGAGACACTTTAAGATTAAAAACAGTGTTACCACATGTATTTTATGTTTGATTGCTTGGTATTAGTTTTGGTATATTTTATTTTATTTTCATTCGACGAATTGTTAAGTTTTTAACATAACAACAAGCTCATTTTAACCATTTAAATTATGTAATATTTGTAAATGCAAGATAGTTATATTCTTTAAATTGAAGTTATTTAAAATTTGCTGCACTCACAACAGGTAAAGAGTAAAAACCGCATTTTTACTGTGCTTTGGTCATTTTTGCAGTTTCTTAAGTCAGTCACACTTACAATGAGCATTTCAAGTGGAATTCTGTTTTAACAAATTTTTTGGCAATTAACTTTTATGACTGTAGTGAAGGCGGAAGAAACAAATGCACAAATTCATTAAATGTGTTAATTTAAGTGAAACAAATCAGCGTTAGCTCCCCGTAGTTCCAATTTGTATGAATGTGGCACAATCGCAATCAAACGATTGCAGCCAACGCCAACGTCAGCAAAAATCTTTGATATCAACTGTAAAGGCAACGCAGTGTGAAAATCAGTTTAAAGACGCTACTTAATTCGTAATAATGGCTAGTCCACGAACGCGACGTGTGCTGCAAGAGTTGAAGCCCCAGGACGAGAATTCGGTAAGATTAAGGCAGAAACATGTTAAAAGAAAATTACGTATTGAACAAGTTTTGACGTGTCTCAAAACTGGATTTTTATCGTTTTATAGAAATGTTTCGAGTGCGGCACTCACAATCCCCAATGGGTGTCGGTTACTTATGGCATTTGGATATGTCTGGAGTGTTCGGGCAAGCATCGCAGCTTGGGCGTTCATCTCTCGTTTGTGCGCTCCGTAACCATGGACAAATGGAAGGACATTGAGCTGGAGAAGATGAAGGCGGGCGGCAATCGCAATGCACGTGAATTTCTAGAGGATCAGGAGGATTGGAACGAACGTGCGCCCATAACGCAGCGATACAATAGCAAGGCAGCAGCTCTATATCGAGATAAGATTTCAACGCTGGCTCAAGGAAAAAGTTGGAATCAAAAGGACGCCGAAGCGCGCTTAAACAGCAGTAACTCTTCTTATGGCTCCAGCAGCTATAGCGGCAGCGGCGCCAATAGCAGCTCGCAAAACCGTGCAAATGCAACAGGTTACAGTGGCAACGACAGCGGTGGAGGCTATCAGAACGGCGGAGGCGCTTACAACGAGGCTGGTGGTTATCAGCAGTTCCAGACACAAGAATTCAAAGACCAGAAGGAGGAGTTCTTCAGCCGTCGTCAAATGGAAAATGCATCGCGGCCAGAGTGAGATCTTAAGAATTACTGATGCCTAACGAGATTACAATTTGCATTATTCATACAGAAACTTGCCACCAAATCAGGGCGGTAAATATGCAGGATTTGGTTTTACACGTGAACCGCCACCGAAAACACAATCTCAGGAGCTGATCGACTCCACGCTAACCACTTTGGCATCCGGTTGGAGTTTGTTCTCCACAAATGCATCCAAGTTGGCAAGCACTGCTAAAGAGAAGGCCGTAACCACAGTTAATTTGGCTTCGACCAAGGTGCGTATAACAATATTGAAAAAAATAACAGCTGTTCTCTGTTTTGTTATTTATTTATTTAGTTTTGTTTGAGTTTTTGTTTATTTTTATATTTGGTTGTAGATTAAAGAGGGCACCCTGCTTGAATCGGTTCAGAGTGGGGTTACAGACGTGGCCTATAAGGTCGGTAGACACAAGCGTAGTCTTGTTTTAATTACATTTACATTTATACTTACATTCGGACAAGTCTAACTGGACTCTCGTTTAAATCCCAAAGGTTACTGACATAAGCAAACGTGGCTGGAACAACTTGGCAGGTGGCAACAGCTCGGCGTCTCAAGGCGGCTACAACGATCCCAGCTTGGATGACAACGGCTATCAGCGTTCCAATTCGGTGGGCGGCAATTTGGCTGGTGGTCTAGGACAACAGAGTGGTGTTGGCGATAGTGATTGGGGTGGCTGGCAGGAGAATGCCAATAATAAAACGCATCTAACTAGCTCCAGCTCATATCAAAATCAACTTAGCAGCAACGCCAGCGGCACACCAACTGGCGGCCTCACGCAAGACGATGATTGGGCTGGGTTTAATTCCGCAAATTATCAGAATTCTGAGACATCGTATCAAAATACACCATCTGGTGGCCAGTCCGTTCGCCGCAATATGAAGCTACAGGAGACTTCGCAGAAATTGAGCGAAGGTTTCGATAATCTGGATGTGAAGAACGTGAAAGCCAAGCCAGCAGCCTCGTCGAGTGGCAAAGCGAGCGCCGAGGATGATGCCTGGAATTTGTTAATGAATTAGCAAATAGAATGAAACCATTATTGAAGCGTTTTTGTCAAATAACTTGATTTGTTTTGTATTATTTTTTTTATTGTTGTCAACTATGTTTTAAAGAAACTTCAGTTTATTCGTGTGCGCATTTAATGTAAATTTACGAATATTATGTTCCAACTTATTTTTACTGATTTCCAACGAAGAGAAGTTATAGTTTACATTATTATTTTTACAGGTTAGACCAATTTTAAATAGAAGTAATACAAAGTGAATTAATATGCAAAATATATATATATGTGAATTCAAATCTAGCTATAACTTGTATTATTTATCAAAAAACGGAATTTGAATTGGAATTTAAATTAAAAATCTCGATATCGATATAGTTCGTATGTTTCCAACTAGATATAATGTCTCTTAATCGATATATCGATATATAAAACACGAAATTTTCTGCAATGATTTCTCTTTCATTCTTTTTCGTTTGAACAAGCTGTGTGGACGCATTTTTATCGTTTTATCGTTTGTCACGACAAACGAGTTGGCAGTGCGCGCAGTTTATTCGGTTAAGTAGGACCCAAAGTGAATTCAATCATTAAATTTTAAAGTTTTTCATAAATATAAATTGGTTTTATAAAATTAACAACGTAGGTAAAAAAAAACCACTCGCTGTAGCTTCGCACAAAACTCTCGAGTTTGCATTAGCATTTCAGCGTGCTTGTATGTGTGTGTGAGTGAGCGAGTGTGTGACTAAGTGAGTGTGTGTGCATAGAAACGCGTACGTAGAAATTTAATTTTGCCAATTTGGCAAACAGAAAGAACTTATAGTGAAATTTGAGACTTCAGCTATACAACAAAGAACTGAAGGCCAATCTGTTTAAATGAACGCAGTAGCAGCTGTAGCAACAGCTCGTACACACGCATAGAAAGAAAGTTCCAGCATCGTCCCTCCACCCACCCGTTGTGCTGATTGCGTGGGGAGTTGTCAATTTTCAAGGCTTCACCTATTGAACTTCCGTTTCAGTCTTTAAAGCTGCAAAAACCAAAATTAATAAAATTAATGATTCACTGGCAATCGCGACTGCCCAGCTGGCAGTCGTCCGTCAGCAAGCTGCAGCAGCTCAATTTTGTTTAAATTTAGTGAAAGTGGGTTCATCCACGAATGACTTCATTTTCATGGCAACGATTTTTGGTGCGGGGTTCACAGCTGACTCGCTGCTTGGGGGAAATGAATACATTTGTAACATAATTTATGCTTGACTGCCATTAATGTTTTCCTTTTTACTTTGTTTACTTCTGAATAAATACCTTTCAATAAACATTCAAGCGCCCGATATACATATCTATATATATATTTATATTCTGTACAATAACATTTATGTGAATAAGCAGCAAAAATTTCAATTTCTTTATTTATAGACATTATAGAAAGTGTGACGCCACGCCTCACTATACAACGGCCCATCAATTTTCAGTTCAGTTGTGTTTTTATCTAGCAAACGTTACCGAGCCCAAAATCAAAATGTTTCAGCCATAGGAATAGACGCCCGTTCGAATATTTATGTGTATAATCGAATGTGAAACATTTGCCGGGCATTCTTAGGGACCTGACAAAAAAAAAAACATAAAGCAAAAGAAAAAAAAAAAAAAAAGAGGTACTCTGCATTGGAGAAGAGCGTCTGCTGAAGCAAGCAAAAAAAACTTGAACAAACGTTAAGACGAGTCTGGAGAATGGTTAAAAAGGAAGTCGGTTTAGAAAACAACGCGTCCTTAGTATTAAGTCAGCAATCTGAGCAGCAGCCGGAGAAGCAGCAGCAGCAGAAGCATCATAAACATCAACATCAAGATCATCATCAAGCTGAACAAACGCAACGCATTGATATCGACTTGACACCGGAGGAGCCGAAAACTGATTTCAATTTTGCTCGCCAGGCAACTGTCACCTATGCACCATTAAACCCAGCCAACAGTCCAAACTATGAGAGTTTGCACAAGCTGCAGCTGCAACATGCGCATCTTGCCCCAACAACGCCCTACAATCTCGACACTATATCGCCACAGAATACGATGGCAATGGCCGTGTCGAGCGTGCCGCTCTCCATCATGCCCAATGAGATTCCTGCTGAGGACGAGGAGCGCCTCGAGCGGATCTTCAATCAATTGGACCGCGACGGCGATGGCAAAATCGACATACACGACCTGTCGGCGGCACTGCACGAGTTTGGACTGTCCAGTGTCTACGCGGTGGTGAGTGAGAGATGATGGCATAAACAGCTGGGGGGTTGTCATCTATATGTATACCAACTGGGCACTATTCCTTGCAGCTGCTTAGCATCATCAAGCACAAGTTCGCATAAATTATTCGCTAACAAATACCGTGTAAATGATTTGTAAATCTTTAGTTGTCTGCCAACAAAATTTCGATCTCTGCTCACCTCATTGTCTGTCTGTCTGTCAAGAGCTAGATATCTGATGTGCATAAACATATAACGAAATTTTGCATAATTGGCCTCTGGGTGGCAATTTTTATGGTTTCAGCTAAAAGAAATATGCATAACGTCTCACCCGATCCACATATTGTCTGATTCTATTGATTTTGGCAAATGGGCTGCTGCTGTTTTTTTCCGACAATTGTCGGAGGCCAAGGCTAAGCACTGCAGATGCCAACTAACTGGGTCACGCGTGTACAATTTGGCAATTGTCGGCTTTTCTTAGAATACAAATAATTTGTAAATATGCTTTATTGTTTGATTTTATATAGAAATTCCTACAGCAATCGGACAAGAACCAAAGCGGGAATGTGGGCTTTGCTGAGTTTCTTCATTATGTGCGAGAGCACGAGAAGAATTTGTGTCTGCAGTTCTCGCACTTGGACAAAAATCGGGATGGTAACTTAATATGACACTAATTCAATATATTAAATATGCTATAATGCCTTTTGTTTTGCAGGGAAAGTGGACTTGGAAGAGCTAATATCTGCGTTCAAGGATCTGGGCCTAGACATTGACATTGACGAGGCTGCAAAACTGCTTGGAAGGTTGTAGCTCTTCTTAATTTATATTGATACATAGTCATGCCGATTACTCTCTCACAGAATGGACAAGGATGGCAGCCTAAACATAAGCTTTAATGAGTGGCGGGACTTTATGCTACTGGCGCCTTCAACGGACATTCATGATCTGATCAAATTTTGGCGGCACTCTACTGTAAGTGAAGGGGCTCGTTCTTCTCGTTTAGCTTGTACTGTAGCTGCTAGTAATTGAATAGTGTAAGCTTTTATCGCTTTATATGGATTTGTTTTGGCTTTGGAAACGGAAAGCGAAAAAGTATGCACAGGCAGCTGCCATTGTTTATATTGTAAGCGGAGCTAGTGCAGACTTGGCTCAGTTTCCAATTACAGCCAATACCAATTTGTACTTTGCTGTGCTCCTTTGTCTAGACACTTAGACACATTTATTTAGCTGTTTATCTTATCGTATTGCATTTGAAACTAATCGTTAAACCTTTTTACCCTCCTCGTTTCGTTAATATGCGTCTAAAAAAACAAAAACAAAAACATTTTACTTATATACCAAACATACCTGTGTACTATTTTGCTTAAAAATGTAGTTCCTGCATACACACCACTCCTGACTAACTGAGGAAGATTTGAAGGTACATATCGTCAAAGTTATCTAATTACAATTAAACATAAATTACTCCCATAGTCGTATGTAGTCGCTAAAGGGCACATATGTACATATCTACCATACATACTTCTCTCACATCTTTATACATACACACACATATCAGCATTTCCTCTTCCTTTCACCTTACGCTCACGTTATCAGCACTTGACATTCAAAACTCAGTCATGGCAGTTTCCCGTTGACCCAATGAGCACTTGTATCTTTGGAGGTCAGAGCAACGAAGAGCGAAAAGCTCTGATAAAAGCTCAGCTACTCTCTTTGCCATTTACACACGCTCTCTTTCTATCGCACTCTTTTTCCAATTGGCTGACGTAAGAAGGGGGCATATTTCATCATTTAGCTAAAGCTTTTGACTGACTAGCTTTTAATGATCGTGTCTAGGTTGGCAGTCAACTGATATTTTATCATGCGCTTATCAGTCAGTTTTCACTCTTATATGATGATCTGGCTGCTCTTGTGATTGTTTATGAGCCAAGCGAGGGTAATTCATTTAATTGGCTTTACTTTCTGCGTAATCATTTTGTTTACAAGTATTTTGTTGATTTTGTTCGCATTGGCAGTCGTTGTATTTTATTTCTGTCCTTTATATTGTATACATATTTGAAATCGGGTGGTTATGATTTTCCATTGGCTAAGCTGCTTTCGCTCAACGGGGTTTTTCTAACGTATCAGATTTTTGTATATAAGTAAAATGGGAAATAAACCCCAAAGTTATTGTTCTTTTCGTCTGTCTGTTCGCTGCAGTTAATTGCCCGCTTTGTTTAAATTTTAAGGTCAACCAGTTTAAACAGTTCATTGTTGTTCTTGTACCTGTCTGGCAACAGAGAATGCGACATTGGAGGAGATAGATAGGAACGGGATCCGTACAGTCCGGTTCTTGGTTGCTACGCAGTCTTTTTGCTTACTTAATGAGTAGCCAGAATTGAGCTTATCTTGACATTTGCATTTTGCACAAGCTAAGGCGTACCTCCCGAATACCCTAGAAAATTCATTAAAATAAATGCTGCAGCTCATACATACTTATAAAAAAATTCCATAGCAATCGAAGAGCATTTGTTCGTAAGAGTATTGAGTGTATTTCTGATAAGGGTATTTGCTATGTCGCTTGTATTTGAGCAAAATATTTACGCTATAATTGTATATTATAAATAGTTCCGTTGTTGATTAAAGTCTAAGGTTTTAAGAATCGTCGCGTGTCTGGCAACTGCAAAAATATTTCAGTGCAAATGCTGTTCAAGGTGATTAATTATCACCTCTATGAAGTCTACTCTATATTTATAGCTGAATATTTAAAATCTATTACAGAATTTATGTCGTTATGTTCATGCAACAGTTGATACATTTCCTTAGCTGTCAAGTGCAATTGTTATTTATTGGTATTTGATTCTTTATCCATGTGCCGTAGATCTATGTTTGTGTCTTCTGCAAACAGATAAACAATGCAATTGTTGTTATTTTTACTACATATATTGAGAGCTATTGCAGAACATTTCAAAGTTTACTGTGCAAAGACAGTCACAAAAAAATTAAAGAATAGCATTACTTTTTTAATTTAAAATTGATAGTAATTTTCTGAAATTCCCGAAAATTGTTTTAGTTTATACAATTTACACAATTATAGCTATATTGCAGATTGTTGCAAAGTCAACTCACAAAGAATACTATTTTATACTATTTTCGAACCCCTTTCTAAATTTAATTATTTTTAAGTCTTAATATATTTATATTATATATATAAAATATATATAAATATATATAGCAAAATGCAACAGAAATTAATTGAAGTAATTAAATGTTTTATAATATCTTATTTTTATACCGGAAAAAAAACGGAAAATACGTTTTATAGATTTCATATTATGTCAGAGATCCGAATAGTTAAGCTTGGGATACTTTTTCTTTTTGTCAACTAGGGAATCTTAAAGGCACTTTGCTTCAGAAAAGCATTACTTTGCACCTGCAAGCGCAAGCTGTGACGTAGTATTGCAATCTGTAAAGTTTCCAGTGCCGTAGATAAATCGCAAACGTGCTGAATTTTCGCTGTAAACATTTTGGTCCGCTGATACGCAATAGTCCGGGTTGACAGAGCGTCACACGCTCGTCATGTGGCTATCAGCAAAAGCGTCTGGAATCAAATCTTTCGTGTGCGCCCTTGATTAGGTGTGAAATCGGCGTAAACTGGTTAAAAATGCGAATTTACCGAGAATGATAAAGAAAGGCATCCAGTAAACAATTCAATAAATCGGTGGGACAATACAGTTTAGTTAATTTAGCTGTCGCGCTCTCCCACTGCATAGTTGCGCTTGTAAGCGACAAATTGACATTAGTTATGTTGCCAGAGAGAGAGAATGAGTGAGAGAGGAAGAGAGAGGGTGGGTAAGCGATTGTGTTTGGTTGGCTGATGCTTGGGGGCCTTACCATTTGTGCTCAGCACAGCTGCAGCAGGCTGAAGAGCGAGGAGAGAGAGAAAGCCACGCGCCACAGCTGTTTGATTGAAGCGATACCGAACATGAACGGCGCGTCGCGACGACTTGCACTTTGTGCGACGCTGGCAGCGACGTCTTGCTACGATCGGTGAGTTGAGCGCAAAAGCTCTCAGTCTTGTGGCAGCTGGCTCACGCGTAGGTTGTGCGCGCGTTATTCTTCGATTCGCTCACCGTAGCGACTATTATATAACTATACTGAAGCGGGTTAACTGCTTTGCGTTCTTTCGTAGTAACAGCAAACGCGAATTTTGACCAAGCGTCGTGTTTTTCTGTGTGCGAATCAAGCAAAGTCTGAATTCCGTTATACTCAACCTATTATTAATTAAATAAGAAATTTGTAACCGTTAGTGCGAGTTACCAGTGAAAGTTTGCAATTGTTTGAAACAGTCTGCAACAAATTAGTGAAAGCCAGCTGAGTTGCATATTAACACACTCGCAAACCGCAATTATACAGCGGAAATTGGATAACGGAAACGTTGTAAAGAGATTTCTACATAACTGTGACTCAATCCTCACACACGCACCCGCATTGGGTGTCACTGATGAGCAGAGTGTTAACATAAAATCAAAGACAACTTGGTCAAAATGTTTCGAAACAATACCTACCAATACAATTTGCCAGTCGATTACCACAACATACAACAAATGGCAGTCGCTGGCGACATGATGGAGGATTTCGTTGTCGTATTCCGCGACATGATGGGACGGGTAGGTCGACATTTATATGATACCTAATATAGCAAATTAACTAATGCAATTAGCAATAACTGATAGCGCGGCGGGGAATGTTTATCCCCCAAAACATACACACGTACATATCATATGCATATGCATCATACTTTATGGTCTTTCCATTTCTAGAATCGAATGCTGACTCACTTCGCGATTTATCTTATCGATTCCAGTGAATTCGTGCTCTCGAGCTACGCTTAATCTGTTGTGTGTTAATCTTGAACATTAGAAATTGCCAGCACATGCTGTACTTCGTTTTGTTGTTGAATTTTGTTTGCAGCTGCTGCAATTGTCTGCTGCACTTGTCTTGTGGCATCTAAATTCAACTCTCGACAATTCGTCGCGACTCGCTTTCCGTTACGAGGCAAGTTGAGCGCATGGCAACAGCGTGTCGAAAAACGAATCGAAAAATGCGACGTTGTTGAGCAAAGCGCTGATATGGAACCGGTTGACTCCCTATTTCTTTCCCTCTCCCCGCGACGCCATAGACATGGCTTCGCCCGCGTCTTCGTCTTCGTCTTCGTCTTCGTCGTCGTATGCGTCGATCGTGTCTACGACATACTTAACCACAACTACAATCACACTCTCTCGCTCTCACTCACACGCACTTCGCGTTGATTTGGTTCGCTTGACGCCTTGAGGGGTTTCGTTTCGCGGCGGCGGCGACAGCGGCTGTTGCCAAGCGCTCAGCGACGTCATTATGATTTGCTCTTGGCCAACTTTAGCCAGTTATGTTCACTGAGTCACGGCTGTCTGTGCACGTGCGGGGGTGTGTAATAGACGCTGTGACGTCAAGTGTTTGTAAACATGTTGATCTTTTATTGCGTGGCAGGCAATCCGCCTGACGTCTGCTGTTTGCGTCATTGGTCAGGCTCATTGCATTCCAGCTAAAAGCGCACTCGTGAGTCAGCTAACTTATCTTAAGCTATCCGGTTTCAAGCTGCACCTTCACGATCGTCATCTTCTTTGTCGCAGCTGCCTCTTCAAGGCACTTGCATTGTTTGGTCTAGTTTACCTTCATGCCTTGCATTTGTTGGTGGGCCTTCGCTTGGGGTTTTCTCTACTATTTAAATGCTGCCCTCGTTGTGTTGAGTTGTGTAAACTGGTAAAGCCCGCAGGGCCAACGAGTTTTATGAATAAGCCAACATTGATTACTTCTTCTATTCACAGCTCAGTTATACATATATACACTTCATTCAGACATTCCACGATAAGCATTTTGGCAATGGTATAAATAAACTTAATTTATAGAAAGCTTTTCACTGTCATGTGCCTCGTTTATGTATATATATAAATGTTTCCGAACCCCTTGGAATTAAAAATAAATAATACGATAACAGAAACGTAAATTGACGATTTTCTAAAAGTAAAATTCATAACGTCAAAGTCCATGGCACATATACATTTTCCACATGATCAAGGAATATATTATATTCACAAATTAATTATCAAAATTGAATATGAAAGCAAATAAAAAAAGTAAAACACATTCGCATTGTTCCGTCAATTTACAAAAGCAATGCAAACATTTTTGAAAATATTCCAATGGGGTGAGAAGATGCTAAACATGACAAATAAAATTTTGTTTTTAATATTTTGTACATCCTCATTTGGCTGTCATTCATTCGCACATACACAATAAGTGAATGTACATGCAAGACGAAAATGTGATCGTATACTATATACAATAGATGTTTAGTTTGCTATGCAAATAGATAGATAAAACACGTAGAGTTTAGCAGACTTTTAGCTTTTTTGGGCCACTTTGACCTTCTGTGATATTTGCACTCGCGGATAGATCACATTCGGAATGTGTCATTGAAGTCATTTTGTTTGTCATGCGCTCGGAGGCGACTGAACTTTGAAAATAAAACGACTTCAATTGTTTTATCCTTGAACTGCGGTTATCCGCTCATGCTTATGGGTAATTGTAATACAGATTAGTGTGAATATTTTGTTTTAAAATATTCTTTTCACTTCCATTGTGATTATTCGGTTTCTTTTGTTATTTCATTGTGCAAAAAGAAATAGCTTTTGAAAATCACAAGACTTGGCAAAGTTCATCACCCTCAGACGGCTTTGCTGACACTTTGGCCAGCTTTGATGGCTTATCAGGCACTTCTTATCAGCGCCACGCAAAAATAATGAAAGCAATGAAGCCTAAGCGAATATTGAGCGTATAATAAGCAGAAATTGAATTACACGACATGCGCTGGGCTTTCGATTAGCTAATTACGTAACCAACCCAGTCGTAACCCAGAAGGGGGCACGTCTCTCTGACAAAACAGAAACTAGAAAATAGAAATCTCGCAAATTGGTATTACATACTATTGCACAAACATCCCTACATACATATATATATATATATATATATATATATACTATAAATATACTCTCTCTCACATTATATATGCATAGTTGGCAAAATAAACGCATGGGGGTTAGTGGGCATCGGGAATTGAGGATTGGCTGGCACATGTGTTTGCTGTCGCAGCTTTTTGCAAAATTTTCTTAATTTAGAACTAGTTGCGTGTTCGTATTGAAATGGTCTTCCGCATTGCGTTTTAATTTGTTTATTGGCTTTGGCTTTTTGTTTTGTTGTTGCGTAGAGGGCGCACGGAGGAGGACGCAAGAGTAACAGCTTATTTGGATAATCTTGTGGCAGCAAGATGTGTTACGTTGCCTAGTTGTTGCCGTTGCTTTGGCAACTTGCAGTCATGAAACAAAACTAATGGAATACTTACAGGCGGGCGTGCATGGATCTCTGATGTCGGTGATGTTGCTATTGGGGAAATATATCAAGTTCTCGGAATCGGAATTGGTCTGACTTGAATCTTAGTTTGTTTTTTTGTATGCCCGTAGCCCGATTCAAATTCAGTATCTTTTCTCATAATCCATGACCCCTTTTAAATAGTTATTAAAGTCTAGACTAAGTATTCTGCCGTCATTCGTGTTATTAATCGTTCACAATTTTAATCTGTTACAGTACCTCGACATTGGCGAGGATATGAACGTACCTGACGACTTTACGCAAAAGGAAATGCAAACAGGTCTCTGGTGGCGACACCTTGTTGCCGGTGGCTTCGCTGGCGCAGTGTCACGCACATGCACAGCTCCTTTGGACAGAGTCAAAGTGTTTCTACAGGTAATATACTCAGTGAAAATGCAGCAAGTGTCGATTAACACTAATCAAATTCTCTTCCATCTGCTTGCAGGTGCAATCATGTAAAATTGGAATCTCAGAGGGTATGAAAATGTTGCTTAATGAAGGTGGTGCGCGCAGCATGTGGCGAGGCAATGGCATAAACGCTCTCAAAATCGCGCCCGAAACTGCGCTTAAATTTGCTGCATACGAGCAAATGAAGCGTCTAATACGTGGCAATGACTCGACACGACAGTTGACCATTGTTGAACGCTTCTATGCGGGTGCTGCGGCTGGAGGTATTTCGCAGACTATTATATATCCAATGGAAGTATTAAAGACACGTCTAGCGCTACGCAAAACTGGCCAGTACGCGGGCATAGCCGATGCGGCGACCAAGATCTACAAGAACGAAGGCGGTCGCAGCTTCTACCGTGGATATGTACCCAACATTCTTGGCATACTTCCTTATGCAGGCATTGATTTGGCCGTCTATGAAACGCTCAAGCGGCGCTACATAGCCAGCCATGACAACAACGAGCAGCCCAGCTTCCTGGTGCTGTTAGCATGTGGCAGCACATCGAGCGCGCTTGGTCAACTATGCTCCTACCCACTGGCCTTGGTGCGAACGCGGCTACAGGCACAAGGTAGGTTTTTAATTGCTCATATTTAATGTGTGTTTCTAATTGAATTGTTTTTCTCTTACTTAGCCGCCGTAACGGTAGCGACCCAAATGCGCAAAACACAAATTCCATTAAAAAGCTGCGATGCGGGGAGCAACGAAGAGACAATGTCCGGACTTTTCCGCAAGATTGTGCGGCAAGAGGGAATTTCGGGACTGTATCGTGGCATAACGCCAAACTTCCTGAAGGTGCTGCCCGCCGTTTCCATTAGTTATGTTGTCTATGAATATACAAGTCGAGCACTGGGCATCAAGATGTCGTGATTTGTTTACCCCCTCACACTCTCTCGTCCTCGTGGCCGTCTGCAGTGCGGATGGCGGTATTATGTGCGAAGTGCAAGTGAAAATGTGTGAGCACTTGAGTGCTGTGCTCTACTTATTATAGTAGTAGTAGGTGGAAAGATTCGCTCTCTGATTCAATGCCAGACTTCTCTATAAGTTAAATGATTAGATGCTTTCATTAAGTGTAGAAAACCGCCTCTTCCATGCTCTTGGTATATATTTCTGATAATTTATAGTTAAATTAGTTTTGGTTACTTTCTAAAAATACAAAATAAGTGATACTATGGCTAATTTATTTATAAATATGGAATATGTGAAAATTAAGATTGTGGAACAGGGCACGAAGCAAACCCCCCAGAAGTTTCTTAATTTATCAACAGTAGGCTTAGGCCATTGTAACTTTAAGTGCTAATTTATTTAAAAGTGAAGAAACAGGTAGACGGCGTCAGAGAGCAGTTTCGGATAAGTCATGCGATTGCAACGCTTCATTTCAAAAATACCAAAAAGTAAAGAAAACTAATCAAGCAATTGCAGCTGTGAGAGATGCCGACGAAACAGACCGAAGCGCAACAAATGGTTTGAGTGGGCTTTTCATCTCCGTTAACTCTGTAATCTGTACCGTGTCTAGACAACTATAATAGGCTACAAGGTTTTTACCGAGTCCAAGTGCTTAAGCTGGGGCAGGCGTAACAAATAAATGCATAACAATAAAAAAAAGTAAACAAAATGTGGGGAGAATCAAACGAATGAATACTTAGGAGCGTTTTAAGCTTGTACACAAAAGACATTTGTTTAGCATAAAAATACAGAAATAAAACTTAACACTTAACGTTTGAAATGTGATGATAATAGTTTATAATATACATGCATATATATACCTACACATACACACATACATATAATTCAAGTACCGACCTATGCGCTTCTGAAAAACAGTCGCAGATTTTTGTTCGACGGCGAGGCTGAAGTTTTGTAGCATTTTATTTGTTAAGTTTAGTGACATTTTTTCTTAGATTGTATTTGTGAGGCGCAAGTGAAGCCAACGAGATAAATTGTGACTAAAATTAACAAACAAAATCATATTTATTTTATATACATATGTAAATGTGTATCACAAAGAGTGGAAAAACAGTTTATCTATGCAAAATGTAAAAAGCAAACAAACAATAAGTTAAAATATTTCTAAAATTTATTATTTTGTACCTTACATTTAATTAGTCAATTGATTTTTGTTGTACATTCTTAGTGAAAATAGTACTTCATAATCTGAATTCTCTTTATCAATAACTTACGCATTTTTGTCTAATGTAACTGGAACATCATATTCAGGAAGCAAGAAGTAAACTCAACCATTTCACCTATTTAATTAACACACACCTTTTGAAATCAAAGACAAGTTCATATGCATTATTTAAAACAAACAAATAAATACAAACTTTAAACTACAAAATATCCTTTTTTGTTCATCGTTTAGTAGAATATACATAGTTCTAGTCATGGAAAGGAAACTCCAAAACAAATATCTAATAATCCGAGTTAAGCTCAATAGGATTATTTTTTTTTTTATTTCCTTAGATAGCAAATGTATGTTAGAAATAATTCCAAAGTAACTATTCTTAAAAATATGAAGTCTCTTTCCAAATATATAGTTGCCGATTATAGGAATAAAAACTTGTATGTTTAACATCTATCTATATATGGATATGCCAGTCTCTAAATATAATTGATATTGATATTCCGCTAAATTACTGAATTGAATTCAAAATTTACTATTTAATATACGAATATTATGGCATATATGGTACATGCATACATATATTTATATATATACATATATATATTGTTATATTTTTGTACGTTTAGCTAATTTTTAAAAACATTATTTAATGTGATTTATATGCCCTACTCGAGTTACAAATATAAACGACATATAATAAATGCAAAGCATATTCGTATATACGTATTAATTTCTGGCATACGGTCTACGTGGCGTATGCGCAACGCCTGAGCACTTTAGCGATCTCTAGCGGCGAACTGGCGTAACTGTGGGGCAGAAGACCGTACTCAAACAAAGCGAAAATGAACTACAACCGGTTCGAATACGAATCCGAAACAATTATTTTTAACGCGGCGAATCAAACGTTCGGTGCTATTTTTGGAGGGCATCCGCCCGCCAGCTGTTTCCAATACTCTTCAGCGGAAAAGCAAGACGTCTCTGAAAATCTTTCAGTTGCCACTGCAACGAAAATTCATATTGCATTTTTATATAATTCAATTCAGTGAGAAAGTTGTCTGAGAACTATGGAGTACGAACCGGACTATCAGAAGATCTGCTCGACTCGGACTGTGCAGTCCGATAAAAAGGGTTTCTTCAACGAATTCTATTTGGATGTGAAAGATGCATGTGGCGACAAGTGGCTGCAAAACTATTTCGGGAAACTCAAATCGAATGCGGCACGTATTTTGTCTATATTCAGTGATCGAGAGATCTGTGATCCAGTGCTGGGCGTCTTGGAGCATGTGCAGCCGGTTTACAAACAGAAAGATGTACTCCTCTCCTCTCAGCGACGTGCGCAGGCTGATAAGTTTTATTTGATGAGCAGCAATGCGGAGGTTGAGGAGGATCGCAAAGAACTGCTCAAGCAGGCACTGATGCACGCCAATCTGGCGGTAATGCGAGCACCTGCTCCAAATTTGGATACGAGTGTCGATCATGGATTAACTCTGGCCATGGCCTATTTAACGCGAGCGAACATTCTTATAAGCCAGGGCGAGGGGGAATCTGCTCTAAATGATCTCAAGCTGGCTGCCAATTTCGGAGTGGAGTCTAAGCAGAACGTGGATTACTACTGCAAAATGGCCAAAGCTTATGCAGGCAAGTATTTGGAAGTCCCTCAGTTTATCGTTTCATCAACTGATATATCTTGAAGCTATGGCCGAGGGCGCTCGCGCTGAAATCTCTTTGAAGATCGCTGAGAAACTGGCAGGAGCCAATACTGGCATTATTGTTATGACTCGAAAGGAGATTGCTCTGATCAAGCCAGCCAAGCGCGAGCTGCTAACAGAGGTGACCCCTCTATTGACGCATGGCGAGAATCCTGAGCTCAGCGGTGCTGCCAACGTGGTTAAGCTGGTGGAGACAAAGGATAAGGGCAGATTTGTAGTGGCCGATCAGGGCTTGAAGACTGGAGACGTGGTGCTCGCTGAGAATCCCGTGGCAGCGTGTCTCTTGCCCAACTTCTTCGGCACCAATTGCCATCATTGCTTCAAGCGGTGAGTGAAATTTGGCCTACACCATTTTATCTGACTAAGCATAATGAACTCTTTAGCCTGCACACTCCTGTGCCCTGCCTGCACTGCTCGGGTATTGCCTTCTGCACTGCTCAATGCATGGGCGAGGCTTGCGAGTCTTATCATCGCTTCGAGTGCCAATTTATGGACCTGTTCATCGGCTCTGGCATGTCCATACTTTGCTTTATAGCTTTGAGGATCTTTACACAAGCCGCCAGCTTGGACGATGGCCTGGCAACGGCAAACTTGCTTTTCGAGCATCTGTGCTCCCATCAGGATGTCCGCGAGGCGGATGATCATCTACAGCGTTCGCTCATGGCGGGATTCTTAATGCGTATTCTACAGAAGGCTCAGTACTTTGGACGACGCAAGACCGAAGGCGTCAATCCCACTGCTGTGGAGCTGCAGGTGGCCACCGCCCTGCTCGGATTGCTGCAACTGCTGCAGTACAATGCACACGAGATATACCATACCATGGTGACCGATGAGCACTGCTTCGAGGGCTGTAAAGTGGTGTATGTGGGTGCGGGTTTATATGGCACTGGCTCCTACTTCAACCACGAGTGTTGGCCCAGCGTGGCGGGTTACTTTGTGGGCAAAAAGTTGGTCATGTCTGCCACCAAGCCACATCGACCTAACGAGATAGTTGCTGTTAATTATGGACCTATATTCACCAAGATGAATCTAAAGGAGCGTCAGCGATCGTTGCGTGGACGCTACGCGTTCAATTGCAATTGCTTGACCTGCCAGGAGAATTGGCCCTTGCTACAAAAGATCGACAAACAAGTCAGATTCTGGTACGATGCATTTATAAATATAAAAAATAGTATTTGTAATTTGTTTACTTGCTCCAGGTGCACTTCGGCCAATTGCGTGAATTTGCTCAAGTTTCCCAAGGACCTGGCTAAGGACGTACGCTGCCCTCGTTGCCGCAAGAATGTTTCGCTGAAGGAAAGTGTTGCCAAGCTTATTAAGATAGAGGAACTTTACCGGGAGGCTGCGGAAGCGATGCAGGCTCAGAAGACTAGTGAGGCAATTGAGCTTTTCAAGGAGGGCATTGATGCATTCTTCCAAATAGCAGCACTACCACACAAGGATACTTTGATTGCACAGCAGGCTCTGCTCAAATGCAATGCCAACACGGGTACTACGTTCAAAAAGTAAAATTTTAAAACAGATTTTTCCTTTTTATGTGTTGCATATGAGTCCTTAGTGGCAATAAGTAAGTTTTATATGAAAGATTATAGATAAAAATATTATTTTCACAAATTTGTAGATATTCTTTTGAGCAAAATCTCTTACACAATGTGAACTAAACGGATATATTTAAATTAAGCCCAAAAGTCAAAACAGTGCTGCAAAATGATCTAGAATATTTTGCTCGTCGATAGATTGCTTATCGACTTTTATATATCGAAAAAATTCACTTTGAATTTGCATTTACAAGTTAAATTTAGAGCTATTTAAGATGTGTCTATTGTTTAATATGCATGTATTGTAATTTAAATAATTTAAACCTTAAAATTATATATTTTATTGCAATGCTTTCTCTTCGATTATTTACATTCAACAACATTGTTTGCGCTCATCTCTATTGAAGCATCTTGCAGCCAGCTGATTTGACATTGGCATGCGGCTATTGAGAGTTTGTTTGGTTCAGCAACAAAGGTAAAATGTTTAAGAAACTTAAGCCTGGGGAAAGCGAAGATGATGTTCTGCGTATGGCCGCAGAATTCAATGCGGAGCGGAAGAAAAATCCAAATTTTCAACCAGCAGCAACAGTTGTGCGTGTGAACAAACGTAAGTCTGTGAATGTGAAATAGGAAGACATAAACAACCTGAATTTCATTTATTAAAAGCTGTTGGCAAATCATTGTTCGCTCAAAAACGAGAACAAGCGAAACTTAAGAGTCAAGTCAGTGCCACAAATTCCTCAGAAACTGAGCCAAAGTCGACACATATTGTTGACGATGCAAAAAGTAAACAAATTCTGTTGGATGAAATCCACGAAAATATGCTGGGAGATGTTCGTGGGACTAAGGTAGATCTTGAGCTGATAAATAATGTGGTGGGTGAAATTGTTGAAAGGAGAGAAGCAGCGCCGCGGCAAGTGGTCAGAGATCGTTATCTAAATCAGGTATGTATTGAAATAATCAGGTCTTGAACTGAACTTAAAATATATATCTTCTTCAAAGCAAAACAGCAACAAGTCGAAGAGTATTTTTGCACAAAAATTTAATACAAATGGAAAAGTTAATAGTAACAACAGCCAATATGATTCACAAGAGAATAAATTGCCGATGGAAACTAGTTCTATTATACAAGATGCAGAACTGTCAAAGGAAATACATGCAGAAAATCTGAGTCTACTATCTCAAATGCGTGAAGAAGAAATCCAGGCAGAGCGACAAAAGTTGCTAAGCTCCTTGGGTAAGAAATACCAATACGTTATATGATCCCATAGATGAAATTAATTTCTTCTCCATTAGATCCCGCTCTAATTGAGTTGTTGACCAAAAAGCGTGCTATCCAAGCGGCTAATTCAGCGAAGTCAAAGCCACTACCTAACAATCCGCAGCAATTGCCTGTGCTAACTGATTTAAGCGACTCGAATCCAGCACACGGGCTCCTGCAGCAAAGTGATGAAGGCAATTGGTTGAATTTCAATTTAGTTGAAAAACACAAACTGGCTTGGATGCGTGATATACCCGCGAGAATAGCGCAGCTTAAGCCTGGGCAACAATTCAATGCACGTTTCGATTGGAAGGGCGTCTTGTTGCCTCATTCACTTGATGAATTGCCGCAAACTACCGATGATCGTGATTTGTATTTGCATGGCGAGGAGCCTGAGCGCCCGGGCTACACGTTGCAAGAGCTATTCCGATTGGCACGGTTCGTTGTGCTTCTTCATTCAGTTTAGAGCTATTACAAATTATTCTGTTCCAGTTCAACTGTGTTGCAGCAACGTATTTCGGCATTTGGCGCAATAGCTGGTATATTCAGCATTTACAATCAAGGCTTCTACGATCAGGTGCTTACATTGCCCATATCAAAAATATTCTTTCTGCTGCGCTTTGGCCTAGATGACAATACTCCTGCACAATTAGAAGTGGTCAGCAGGGCGTTGGCTCGCCTGTGCTATAATGAAACCGATGAAGTTTTGCTCGATCATATCTATGAGAACGCCTATTGTCATTGGCAGCCAATGCTGCAGGTGCTGACAGATGGCGACGACTCGAGCGATCCCAACTCTGTGGCCTTTCTGCAACGCTACATGTCGCTGTTGCGCACCAACTCGAAAGCTGTAAACGCAGATGTTGATGACGATCAGTCAGATCGTGATAGCCGCATGTCTATGGATGATTTTCAGCTGGCCGAAACTGATCTAATCAGTTGTCTTCTGCGGACGAATATTCTTCAACGCATTAAGTATGGATTACTTCCATAATATTTTATACAATTTAAAGTATATTTTCTGCTTACAGTTTTATATTTAGCTCTGTGCGTCCAGAGAATAGCACTGTCGAGTCTTGTCTTAAGCTGCTCATACGCATTGCAAGAACAAACTTGGCTGCGGCAAGGCAGTTGGCACAGGAAAAAGAATTGCTGAATATAATTTTGGTCAACTTTATGCCTAAAGCACGTAAGATTACACAACCGATACAACTTATTTGTTCTAAACATTCTTATTTTAATGTAATATTTTTTTCTATTGATAGCTGCTACGGGCACAACAGAGTCTTCATTCTATGGTTATCCTCAGTATTTGTGCTTAAAGCTGTTGCGTGTTTTAATCTGCCAGCATTTGGATATAGCTAAGCAATTGGCGAATGAAACACTGATCCAGAGATTGAAGGAATTTTTATTTAATCGTGAAAACGTGAAGGTAGGACTCTTGATTTATTCTATATATTAAACATGTTTTATTAATATTCAATTTTTATTGTAGGGTAAATTAGTACGTGTTCAAATCGAGGCGCTGCGTATATTGCGTTGTCTGCTGCTGCTGGGCATTGTCGATCGGGAATTGTTCAAGTAAGTTTTCTGCTAGCCAAGTAAGTCAGTAACGGTAGATTTAATAAAAGGTCCATCCGTATCGATGTAGCATACAACCGTCTGATAAGCAGTATCGCAGCCGTCAACGCCCTCTGTAGTCGAGTAGATGAAACCAAATACAAAGTTTTAAAGTTAATGAACATTGCGCTATGAAATAATTGTAATTACTTTTCGTGCCACATGCTTCCACCAACGTCATAATCTTCTCATGTATTTCCTCTGGTAACATTTCAACCAAAGACTCCAAATGCATAACATTTTCACTGTCGATCTATTAGAAATATACTCATATATATTTAAATATTGTATATATTCTACATACCAATCCGAACACATCAAACATGCAGTGCAGAAAGCATTTAAAAGATGGATCGTTTGGCAAAATACCCTTGTGCGCCTGGGCCATTAGCTCTGCAAGCGCATAAATCCTCTAAAGCATTCTTTTAAGTTAGCGTTTCACCTGTTGCTTACCTTCACCGGCGCCTGTTTTAGCCATGCAGCGCTTGTGCATTTTGTTCACTTGTTTCCTTACCATTTCAGGTATATCCCACTGTGTGGGAGTTATTTTTATAAAAAAATTCGTACTATAAGCTTTCATTCAATAAGAACTTACGGCTTGATGTGGCGTAATCGCGCAACACAAAACAAGCAATGCCAATGTCACGCCTAAGGTTTTAGAGTACATTGCAAAACACCGAAGTTTTAGTATTCTTCAAATTGTCCGGATTAAACACTCAAACACGTAGCTATTGCGCGCTAACCACAAACTAATGCTTGCTTGGACGGATGCCTACTTATATAGCTAATCATCTTGGTACTGTCAAAAGCTGATATTATAATACCTATTATTCTACAGACAATTCCAGCCTGCGGTACGTCAGATTCTTGACTGGCACTTTAATCATTGTGTATTCGAGATGGGCGGTTCGGCGCTAATACGGCAGCACGCAGCTGCCCTGGTGGTGACGATTGTGGCGAGCGGTGAGTGCGGTGCTTGCGACATTGAGGCGCAGCAACTATTCTTGGAGCCATTGCACAACTGCTGCTGCAGCTGGCTACACAAGGCGACGCGTGGCGATGGCCTCAAGGATGTGAGTCAAGTTTTGCCGATAACATAAAGGAAATTTCTCATTTTAAGTCTATTTGCTATAGTACACTCAGCTGACGCTCTTGAGCGCTGTGCTGTATGCTGTTGGTTGGTTCTCACGACATGGTTACCTGGGCACATCGTCCTTTCAACAGTTTCTGCGCAAAATTTTGCCTGAATTCGTTTGTTCCGCTGGGTTTGTTGCATGTGTGCAGCAGTTGACGTGAGTACATTTGACAGGCAATGTTTTGATTAGTTAATAAAATTTAATAAATACCTTTCAAACAAACACAGACGGAGCTCTATAATTTTACGCAGCTTCAGTGATAGGCGCAATGTACACGCCCCTTTGCCGAATGTGGGGGCGGTCTTGATGAACGACTATGGGCCGCAGTTGATTGTAAGTGACACGTATCCAGTCCAGCTGCTGAGTAATATCTGGGCTCTGCTTGAGAAACCACTGGAGGATGACATGAAGCCACTTTTTGAAGCACTGCTTCAACCGGCAGTGCTGGAGCCCTTGGCAGATTATTTAAAGGAGTTGAGCACACGTTTGAATCGCTTTCTGGCGAGCAACTTTTTTGCACGCAGCGAACTGAAGTTTGTCTATCAGCTACTAAGCACCGACGGCCTTGAAACTTATTTGTCACGCACGCAGCTGCTTCAGGTGGTTTATAACTATCTATGCTCCTTAAGCGCCGCTCAGGCCAAGCAAATGAAGAGCATATTCGAACGGTACATCTTTAGTGGGAAGTATGTGGAGTTAGATGAAAAGTCTTTGCAGCTGCTACAGCAAACCTGCATGGAAATTGTCTACTCGCATTTTATTGCCGTGAGTACTTATCGCACAGGTGTCAATGCTTCGTTTAACTATTCTCTTATGCAGGAAAACAGTGATCCCACGTTGACACTCTGCTATACTCAAGCGCCCGTGTTGATGCCAGACTGGCCTTATTTTCAATTGCGTCTGCTCCTTAACAATTATTTGCAAAATGTACAACAGGTTCCTGCGGTTATATATTCAGGTGAGTCAATACACAATTTCCTTTTACTTTTGTTTAATTAAATGCCACTCACAGAAAATCAGGTGGTACGCATGACCTTCAGCTTCGTGCAGCAGCTTGAGCAGCAGGGATTGCAAATTGTCAGCCCACTTGAAAAGTTAATGTATCTGATGATAGCCTTTATGGGTCCCGACAGTCAGTTCTTGGAACCAGAGCTGCATAAGCTACTACAGACACAATTGCTCGATTTCTACACGCACAATAAAACGCATAATTTCGATTTCGAGGCTACGTTTGAGGACAAGGCCAATTTCGAACCGCTGTACTATCTGTTTGTAAACCACTTCGAAGCGGCCAGCTATGGCGACGAGCTATTTAGCTCGTTAGTGCTGCTCCCGCTGGCTCAAAAGTATGATAACAAGTGGCGTAGACGCATCTGGTCTGAGCATGTACAGGCAGTGCGTTTTTTAAATTGTGATGAGAGTTTGGTATGTGCTGGAAATATCTTGAATTTAAATGTTGTTTAATACTGTTGCATTTTCCAGTTGATTGGAGGACTAGATGCTTATCTAGAGCCCATCGAGGAGGAGCCCTCGCTTGTAAAACTCTATGGAGATGCACTGCAGCGACAGTTAGTGCGTCCTGGCAGTATTGCCCACACAATTGCTAAGCATCATTTCAATAATTCACAAGCGATACAGAAAACCAAGTTGTTTTGAGCATCTGCAGATAAATCGATTATTTATGAATATTAATATTAGCTTAAGGCTAATTTTGTTGCCGTGATATAGCTTGTAATTTATTCAAAACGGAATGCATACGTATAATTAAATCATAAGCTTTTATATCTTAAGTCCGCTTGAACTGCGTTTGGGTGCCCGCAAGGCCCACATAGATTATGGGAACAATTAATATTGCGGTATAGTGTTTTTCTTGAGCTTTGCTTGAGTCAGGGATTGTTATTCAATTACATGCTCGAGTGGACCTAATGAACTGTTGCGTAAGAACATTTGTACATCGACAGATATATGTTCAGATAAAAATATCTGTCATTCTTAATTGTATGCGCGTTAACTATTAACTGTTTCTAGCAGGTTAACTGTGGACGACGGCACATAGAGAGAGCTCCACTATCACCCACAATTAATTAACATCACTTGACTTATTGACAACTGAGAAATGCCGCACATGGGCCCCGTCTTGGTCGCAGCGACTGTCGTCTATAGTTACCCACGACTGCTGATAAAATATATGTAATTATAATGAACGCAATTGAAAGGCCACAGCTAATTAAATTATATGCCGTATGTTGGTATGAGTGCGCCGTGAGTGTGTGTGTGTGTGTACGTGAGTACGTACAAACGTGACTACAAACCTACAGTCAAATGTCAAGTCATAAGGTCTTTCGTGTCGCATGCAGCGTATGTGTAATATATAACATGATTTCTACACCCTTACATTAAGTACTTGTTAGTAGCTTTTCTAAGTTAAAACAGGTTTTCCAAATAAATTTAAGATTTTCGAACGCTGTAAAGGTCATTAGCATTTAATTAACATTTTGAAATGGAAATCCCTCAGACCTGGCCTCAGTGACATATGAAAATTATGCTCCTTTGTACACCGCACCCACGCACTCTATGCACATCTGTATGATGTATGTGTGTACACATATGAGCTCTGGGCCCCTCTTGTTTGCCAACGTGAATTGCAAAATAACCTCGGGAGTTTTGAGAATTATATTGCCTCAAATTTATAAGGGCATAACTGATTTTATTTTGGGCTGCTCTGACTGGCGCCCATTCAAGCGTTGGAGTTGGTTCAATTTGAGTACATGTGGTGGATGTTTGGGCATATCTTTTAGGTTTCAAATGTACTGAGGCGCGTGCACCAGTTGGGTCTTGTGCTTAACATGAAAAGTGTATATGTAATATGTGTAAACATTTTGAGTTTGATTTATTACCATTTCTTTTTTACTTTTCTAATTTTTTATTTTAAAAAATGTGGAGCTATCACTAAGAGGTTGCATCGCTAAGGGGGTGAGAGAGTGACCTTGATCTAGAGATTGATATACTTATGTATATTTTAATTAACAGTTGCATGCATTATCTGGCAAACTTTATGCCACAATTTATCGAGAGCAAACAAATTGTATAATATAAATAATAAACACTTCAGATTCTATTGCATATTTATTTGCATTGACACGAGCAATAATATATCGTACAATATTAGTTATTAAATTAAATTTTCCCTAACGGGCAATGGGTGCATCAATTATTTGAAGCCTCTCTTATATGGTATTCAAACAGGACTCAAGTGTGAGTGTGGATTTAGCTTTCAGTACACAAATGACTTTACATGAACAACAATGTACATGAATGTTTGCAAGGGTAAAATTAAACTAACCACCCTAATGGGTAGTTGGAATACATTTATGAATCAAAGTGTAGACGGGTAGTCGCAGTTGTATGTCTGGGTGTAGCCGTGTGGCATAGAAATATGTACAGCTGTGAGGGCACATCTTTTATCCATAACTTCATTCACGTTTAGTGGAAGTTTCAGTGGTGTTGCACGTTTCAGCGATTTGTCATCGATCACGTCACAGCTTTGGCGGCGAGTAGTTGCCAGCTACAGCTCAGTTTTTTTTTGTTTTAATGTGTTTGGGTTCGTCGGTTCGGTTATGCCGATGGCACCGTCCGCTATATTCAGTTGTTTTTGCTGATCGCGCGAACGTTTCGTTTCAGTTGCTCTTTGGCTCTCTGCACGTGCGGTGCCTCCGGCTTGGTGTCGCCTCTGCCAACGTCTGAGTTTTTTTGGCCACGCTGGCTCTATTGTGCTTGAAGTACATTTTAATTTCTTCCAGTGAATAAGAAATCATATAAATAAAAACGTTTTATTTTGGGTTTCTGCTTAAAAAATAGCCACACTTACGCTTCTGCATGTGCTCTAGCGCTCCATGTGCAGATGTAGCTAGCTAGCTATTTATTTTCGAATCGAGCCCTAGAGTCGTCGGAGGGTGCTCTGTGTGTATTCTTAAGTGTTATCTTGGAAACATTTTTAATTAGTGGAATATGCATTTACCTATTTAATGCATGAGTAAAACTCTTAAGTGAGACCGCGTTCCAAGAGTTTGTCGCGTTTCTTTTTACAGTTTCGTATTTCAAAGACTCACGTCAACACAAATAACATCATTTTACTTGCACATGCATCTACAGAATAATAATGAATAATAATAATAAAGAATAATTATGCATATTATAACTATATAAATGTTTAGCTGATCCATTGATCCATTGCCCACTGCTCCTAAAGGGCATTATTCGCTTTTAAATTGTGCCTCATTTGGACAATTTGTATATATATATTTAAATATAAATATATATAAATATTTATCTTGCCATGCAAATAATTCAATTGTTTGCATTATTTCTTGTGTTTACCTCTAGCTGAATAGTTTATTTACCATATCAGTTGTTACACAAATGAAAAGGTATACTTAACCGCCTTCGACTAAGAACACGATAAAGATAATTCTCAATTGGATTTTAAATGCTTTTTATAGCTCTTGGTAAGTTGTTTAAGACTTAAAATATTTAAATAAATTAACAGTTAATGAGTTTTAAAGATATGAATTGCCATATATTATAATTTGCTTAGCCCTTCCTATTATAGTCATGTGGCATTCCATCCGGTGTATGCGTAAGAATGTTTATCTTTGACTTTTTGAATTGAATGTTTAAGCTTTTTAGTTTGCTCTTCAGCACAAACAAAAAATATCTTTTTTTCTCACACAAAATGGATTTTCGTCGTGGCATATAACCTCGACACGAAAAAGTTCGCTTAGCTCAGCGCTGTTATCAAAAACAATATTCTGTGGACAAACACCGCTATTAAAAGAAAGTCAATTCACGAAAATTATACATACTTAGGCATGGGTATATTTGCTGATGTACATAAATGCATTTCTATATAGTAGATATGTGCATTTTGTATTCCGCTTTAAGTGTCTCTTAGTTTAAGCGCACTTGAACTTGAAAGCAAGTAATACAACTGTATAATGTTCGCGCTTTGGCGCTCAGCTCAGATTCTCCCTGCTGAATGTCTCTTTCGCTTTGCTAGTCTGTGTTTGGGATTAGCTCTTTGCTGTAGTCAATGTCTGGCATAAATCATCGCAATATATGGCCGTGGTACTCTTTGTACGTGTCAGAGTATTTGCTAATCGGACTGATCTTAAGTGCTTCTAATGTGTGGCATAAGACGGGGCACAGTTTACAGTCACTTGTTGCAGGAGAGACACATATACCATATCTGTTACATATATATTTATATATATTTACATTTATTCATATATAGCTTTATATATTTTTCTAGTATAATCTAGTCTCCGGTTACCTCGAATTCTGTGCACTTTGAAATGCAGTGTAAGCTGCGGTCGCGTGTCTAGTTACATTTTGACACTATCCGAAAAAAACAGTGTCATATCTTTATGTATCTATATTTGATAAATGTGTCAGATATGGTGCTTATGTTAACTTAGAACATTACAATCAATTTGGGTCTGTAATATTACTTTTCATCAAGGAAACATAATAGTGATAACAAATTTCCAATAGATAAAATTGTTGTATTGATAGCTAGCTTGTTCGCCTTGTATAGTGTTTCTGATATTCATGTTTCGTAATGATTTAAAACGCCAGCTCTGGCTTTTTTCAGTGTATGTCATTTTGAGAACATAGCGCCGTGGGTACACCTGCTGTAAACAAAGTTGAGTTTCAAGCTATCAGCTTTCCTGCTTTGACGGCATCTGCTGCTAAGGGAGTTGCGCATGCCTTGTACATCGAAGCAACCCTCGTTCTCATTGAGTATAAACCTTTTTAAGGGGTTGCACTTAAGGGCTGCGGCCAGCACATGCATGAGAACATTTATGCCCAGCCAAGCAAATGTACAGTGGATAAGGGTAAAAAAAACTTTGCTGACAATAAATGCAACGTGTTCCACTGTAGAAAGCAGAGTCAGAAAACTGGAATATGAATTCTATATTAGATAGAAACTAGGCCGAAGCCGATTCGATGTGCATTCGTCGACCTATCGACAAAATAAACCAAAGGCGACTGATTGTCTAATAGTTTCTGACTTTTGACTTTTCAAGTAAACTGGCTGAAAACGGCAGCAGAGCGACAGCGCTGGGAAAAGACGAACAAGTGGCGCTAGTGTCGTGGCTTTTCATGTCAGTAGCAGACAATAAATAATGAAAATATGACATTGCGAACACAAAGAAAAGTCATAGGAATGTTTAGGCTCTTGGAGACAATGCAAAGCCGACTACTAAAATATTAAATCATTGACCTTGTGAACCTTGACAAACAGAGACTACTGAGCAATAGCCAGTCGGGGCGCAAAACAAAAAGAATAGACTGCAATCGAAGATAAGTGAGGTGGGTGTGTAGCAAAGTATAAAGGGAGGGGCGGCGAGGGGGCAGGCACAACGGAAATGCTCAGAGAACGACTTGGAAATTATGCAAAAGCCTTCAAACTACGAAAATAGCAATCGCTTGCGCTCGCTGAAACGCGAACAATTTTCACCTTTTCGCCACATTTTCCGCTTTTAATCAAGATTTATGGCAATTGACAGAACAGACAGAGTCCAGGAACATGAACTGGGGCTAGGTGGTCAGCAGTCAGCAGTGCCAGGCAAACGGCTCGTGTTTCGCTAAACAGAGCGGTGCACAAAAATCAAATCTTCTGGTAGCGGCTATTAATTGAATACGACTTTAATTAAAAAACGCGTAATTCACGAAGACTTAAGGAACCTGACCTCAGCGATTGCCCAGACCACTTGAAGATTAGAATTTGGTGCTTTGATGTGTGTTGTGGGGGCTCAATTTGCGTCTGATTGAAGGGGCGAATTCTTTTTTCTCAGTTGTTTCTCTGTTTTGTGCTTCTAAAAGAAGGTCTGCCGTCCGCAATAATTTTAATAAAAAATTCACTTTAACTCTAGCGAAATTTTCAAGCGAGCTAGTCTTGTTTTGCCCGCTTATAAGTATGTGGTCCGAGCGGGCGCATTTAAAATTAATGAAGAGCTTTGTGCAGTGGACCTAACCATTGGACCTAACATTCCAAATTGTGTGCTCAACTGTAAAATTATACAATGATGTGAGTTAGACCCAAATATAATACCATAATTAAAAGAGGATAGCTGTCAAAGATGCCAGAACGATTTACGAATACAGCCAGCTATTATCTGCTGAGCTATTCGAGCAGCAGCTCAAGCATAAATTGTGAATAGTTCAGATTGCTTAGTCATTCGAAAAGTATTTTGCTATTAACTACTTGAAGTTCAAGCAGTTGATTGGCTATCTCAAGACCAAGCTTTGAATTAGCTAACATGAATTTTGAAGCTCGTGCAAATAACCCAACTAACATCAGTTTGGGCATGATTACGACTAAGTTTGTTGCATGCTTGGAATTATGCTTGTTGCGTGCTTCAATGCAGTTTCCATTCACCATTACTGGCCCCTATTGTGGGCAAAGTATTTAGCAAGTAATTAGTATATAATGCTTAATACTAATTAAGTTATGAAAGCTGAAAGCGAATTCATAACGAGCTGCGGCACATGACTGGATAGCAGATGTGTAGATATGTATATAAAAATATATTCAACATACATACATATATAAATATTTGGTTTAGTATACGAGTTGCATGGGTAGTTCAGTCTCCAGACCATATTCGCGTGCATGCTTCAATTCAGTTTTGGCTCACATGAATAAAATCCATTTTAGATACTTTTATATATTTGCACCATTTTTTTTATATTGTCTTAGTGTACATGAAAAAATGCATATATGCATACGGGTTACGTGCGCCCTTGGGCTTTAAAGATACTTAAAATAATCTGAGAATTAATAAATTCACCTTTCGTTTGCCTTTTGTGTGAACATTATTAGAGGTGCTTCTGGACTTGAAATGATATTTTAACTACCAATCGGTTGAGCTCATATGTTTGCGTTTTTACTGTTAGTTGCAAAAAAACTGTCGTAAAAACGCCGTCAATAATATTTACTGTAGTCGCACAAAAGAATATTCCATAACTTAACCCAAACTTGACGGTGATCGGCACGAATATGCGAGTAACGCTTGAGACGCTGGCGTATACTTAATTTATTTTGTATTAACGACTATAGTTTCTTAAGTTATGGGTAAGTTGTGTCGAGTACATTGTGGCGGCCGCCTAATCGTTGGTTTTTTACGATTCCCCACGAATTTCGTTAAAATGTTTTTTTTTTTTCGAGCGAACTTTCTTTATTGCGAAGCGTTGAAAGTGAACATAAAAGTGAATCCGATTCGCATTGACATTGATTTCGTCAAATCAATTTTCCTTATGGTCGTAATACTTTTTTTATTGGCATTTTAATGCCGACAGCATTGTTTCGTCCTTGTGTTACTTTTATATGGATATACGAAGTACATATATATTTGTTTTTGTAGATTTTTGCACTTAATTTATGTTGCCGCAAATGAAGCAAATAAAATCTGCAGTCACAGCAAACACCCACACACAGCTGAGCAGTCGAGCAGTTGAGCAGTCGAATAGCCCGCATCCGGGGACAGCCGGCTCTTGGGTACTTACCGAATGGCGTTCCATTTCTGAGTCGTAAATATATGCTGCCACAATTTTACGACTTTAAATCATAAAAGGAATACATCGCTTATTGGAATCCTGCTCTCCCGAAAGACCAAAAAAATATACATACCGACAGGCGGCCTCTTGCCCGTTTCCCGCCAGTGACATAAAAACTCGCGAAATAATATTTATGGCACTTTTCAATGCAAATTTACAGCCCAGAAATAATATGAAATACTTGTACTTACATATACAAATGCGTGACATAAAAAGCCCCAAAACTTTTTCGACTTCCGACTGGGCATAAGCCCAAGACGCCAGCAGCTTTTATGTCCCTGCGGTTATTGAAAGAGTTAAAACTAATGTTACATATCGGATGACTTGTCAGGCTGGCACATCTCGACATATTTAAAATTCCCTTACAGACAGTTGTCTATGGCAGAAACGTCTTGAATCTGGATTTAAAGAGCTTGACCCAACAAGTTTTTAAGTTATTCAATATATTTAAAAGAAAACTTAAAAATTTAAATTTATTCATTGGCATTTGAAGACCAATATTTGCTTCTCATTTTTGGAATTGTAAAAGGTTAATAAACTTAATAAAATCTATGAAAAGTTTTATTTGAAGTGCTTTGGAATTCTTTTTATGAATTGGCTTCTGAATCGAATTTGAACTACGCAATTAAATTTTGTTTGCGGCTCAAACCTGCTTAATGACTTCGTGTTTCTTTCAGATATAAAAAAAGCTCATCTTTATTCAATTTCGGGGAACATGTTTGACTCGTAACATATTGAATCAATTTCTCAATATACTCAAAAGAACTTGGCAAGCATTTTGTTGCCCTCTACGCTGCTACGGGCTGTTCAAGAAAATAAAGAAACTTGAGTGCTGTGGTATTTCTACGAGGTGGTAACTTTTGCATGAAGAAGCTTTCGCTGTGTACTCCTATGAAAATTATGCTGCTTATGAGGGTGGCAATAAATATTTGTCTTAAAGACTTTAAAGTCTTACACAAAAGAGTATGCTTAACTCTTTGGCTTTGACTAGTTTTCCAATTCACTTCCCTTTCTAAGCCCAAACTAATCGTCATAATTTGTAGGAGTCAATTGAAATGCGTATTGGATTTCCAGATGTTAATTGGTCGAAATGTCAAAGGATTTCACTTAAGCTCGTCGCTGAACTTTGACTGGCTTTGCAGGCAAATATAACAGGATTTATGTATTAGAATGTTTTTCTCAGTATTCGGCGCTGCTTTGTTTAATATTAAAGTTGGCAAGCATTAAGTTTATCGAGCCACGTCCTATGCCCCTGTAAGACTGTCCAAATCAGCACACGCTTGACTTGTTTGACTTTCGTTGTATGTTTTTGACACTTTTTTTTGCCATGCTGCCAGCTTGTTCTCTACGCCGGCACACAGGAGTCTGGCTGTTAATCAGCTTTGATGTGCATCACGGATAGTCCTGCCCATCCATACAAACACACACACACATACACCGTGGCTTATGTGGCCACAGCGCCACATGGAACATTTAGTTGCATGGGTGGGCACTAGCCATTGTAGAAGTTGTCCCTAAACAACCGATGGATGTCGGAAAGTTTTCTTTTTGTGCGTGCCGTATTACTGATTACCATTCAGACATGTATCGCTTCTCATCTAGTACAAAAACGATTGATATCAATATTAGGCCATAAACTTTGGGCATCAGTTCGACACGGAAAGCACGTTCAAACGGTCATCACAATACACGATTATCCATGGACCCGGGTCTATGTTTTCCCATTGTGATGATGTTTTGTCATTAAGAGCTGCTGCCTCAGCATTGACAGGTCTTTACATCAGCGTCACCATATTTTATTGTTGCTCTTTTTGTATCGTCTTATAATTGAGGTCGTGCAATAAAATTTATATATATAAATATATTCTTTATTTGTGGCTGCCCATGGTCAAGGTAGAAGTATGTACTTGCAATTTAATAGCGTGTATTCTCATTTTTGATGGTGCGAATACCAACAAACAAATGCTCTAAGTGTTCTGCTCTCGGATGGTATGGACGAGGCAACTTTTAGCTTTATGACCATATATCCTTTGACAGGGGCTATTCTAATTTCGTACCCTTGGAAGAATCGCAACTCTTTACGACTACGTTACAAAGTTAAATTTATCTCATGGCCATTAAGCAGGCAGCTCCAAGCGTACATTTAATTCGGTCATATAGCAAAAGGCGTCGAGCCGGCTTTATACGGAATATCCATGCCTTCGGGCGTAGAGACCACCACCAAGTAGTAAAAATCTTGTTTTATTGTGGCAATTGAAATGCGAATGGGCGTTGAATTGAGCCATGAAAAGAAAGCGTAGCAACGCTTAAATACGCATAGGCATAGTCCAATCAGAGCGAAAATAGCAACAACAACAACAACAACAAGAAAGTTAAAAGCTTGAGAACAACAGAAAAAGTAATACATATACAAAGGCAGCGCGAAATCACCATCGGAAGCAATTGGCCCATTGTAGGGCCATTAAAAGGGGCCCGCCTGGTAGTCTCAGCCGCCTTCGTGGCTCGGACAATGGCAACAATTATTCAGATAAGTTTTTTACAACTTTTTCTTGTTTATACGATGCCTTTTAGCAGCTGTCAAGCGATATCGTGTGGGGGAGTCAAATGGCCGGCTGGTCTATCTAGCCGCAGCCCAGCTGAGAGAAAAAGTTAACTGCCCCATCCACATATTTTGGGTTGCGTTGACAGAATGCAAATGAATTTGTTTATGGCGCAATTCATCAAAACTAAGTCAAATCATAAATCAAGAATCTCCATTTAATGCCATCATTAGAAAGTGTTTTCATTACAAAGAGGATTCCCCGCCAGCACGCTTGCCTAGCTGCTGCAAAAGTCTGAACTTCTGCGCGTTTGGCGCTTATCAAATTTCCACCTGGCTCTTTCGACGACCGTAGGTCAAGGTAAGACTTGCCTTCTGTCGGTATCGGATAAGCGTTCACAAAGTTTTTGGTTTTAAGGCCAAATCCCGTAGGCCTTGTTGCTTGTTGAACTCAATGCGTGTATATCTGACTGCTTGCCACCAGCTGTCGTTTGTCCCTGGTTTCAGGCCCCAAGCCCCAGGCCCCTCTTGGCGTGTGCTTATTGAATTAAGCACTTAATTGCTTCAATAAATTTGTGCAAATTTTACGTTGCTCGAGTGCAAAGTTCCCACATATTTCGCAAAAATTGCATAATTGGCGTAATTATCTCGCGTTTTTATTTAGGTCTCTCATGTGTCGCGCGGCTTGCCTTAGTTTGGCTCTGACATTTCGTTTTACAATTACTCATTCTGTGTATCTCCTGCATTGACCCACTAGCTAAACTGATGCTGCAGATGAAGCCGGAAGACTGTGTGAGAAATGGTCGACGCTTTGCAATCATGTGCTGTAATCCCTTCTTGAGTTACGAGCTGCCGCTTCATATCCAGGTTGTGAAAGCATGGCGCATAGCGCATACGACAGGTGTGCCCGAGTGGGCTGATTCACATGGCAACCATTTTCCCTTAGGATCACAGACTCTGTTAATCATGATTAATTTGCATCAATTTGCGTTTGTGCTATATTTAGCAAGCCAATTTGTGCAGGAACTTCGACACAGCGAGCTTGGGGCTTAAAAATTAGAAAAGGTAGGAAAACCACATTACTTGGAAATGCTTTCACTGGTGACATGGGTAAAGAAACGGCAGATGCCACGAGCATGCCAGTAAGCTGCATTTGAATAGTTTGCCATGTAAAATAAATACAATTTTTATATTTAGCAGAAAATAGTATATGAAATAGTTTATATATAAATACTTATATAAGGAAAGAGAGGCACATTCAGCTTGCCAATGTATTTTACGGGAACGTTGTCATATTGGCGACATATCCAATTCACATTGTATTTATTTTTGAAATTATTTGTACTCTATTTGCAGAAAAGTATTTGTGGTAAAGCTGGAAAATATTTTCGTTGCACATAAATTGGTTGAAGAGAGATGACAAACACCAAAGTTTGTCCTTGATATAAATAGACAAAGGAACTAATATAGCTGAAGTGAAGTGCTCGTGTTAAGACAGCCAAAAAATAAAATAATAACACAAAAAGTTGTGGGCATTAGCTAACCACAGAAACCCAAAGCGAAGCACTCAAAACGCTTTTTCAAGACAAGGATCGACCTAAACGCACACACAGCAACATGTCGGATACAACATCGTTTGAAATGGCCTCGGTCGACCGACCCAACCGTTTCCAAGTGAATCCTGTTAACCATCACAAGAACAACAATGACAACGAGGACCGCAAATCACACGCACCCCCAGCTGACGAGGTTTACCGCAGGCTGACCAACATCGATGGAGAGCTGCTCGAGGACGACAGTTTCGATGCGACACAATTGTTGAACAAACAGCAGCCCAGGCAGCAGAGGTGAGCCCTTATCCAATCCCACCAAAAACATTTGTGAACATTGAAACTTTTAAGAAATTGTCCATTTTTTATGAAAAAGTTGTGTCGTTTACTTTGCCAGTTACTTTCTTGTTTTGATTATGTTCTGATTTCATAAATGCTCTTTTTGTCAGACTTAAGCCCATTTACTCATATATATGTGGGGGCGGAAGGGGTTTTATACCCTGGATATAGCAACAGTTGCTTAGTTGACACAGTACAAAGTTCATTCTTCTCTCTGTCTGCAGAAGGCGCATATAAAAAAATCTCGATTGCATCCATGTTGACTCAATTGAAAATGATTTCGATAAGAGAAAATTTTTAAATTATTATTATATTTACTTTAGCCCATGGTTGACCATCCGATTCGATACCAAGCAAATTGTTTGCCTGGCCATTGGCTTCGATTTGAACTTGTTGCATCTGCTAGCTGACTTGAAAGTTTGTCGACCTGGCTCAGTGGCCTCAACTTGGCAAGTTCAACAAACAGGCCTTGTCTTAATGCTTCCAGCAGCAACCCCCCGAGAGAGAGAGACACAGGTCCCCTAATTGAAATGGGGCACCGTGCACCAGTCAACAATGGAACCAATCAAAGCAAAAAAAAATAATAAATAGCAATCTGTTTATATTGGTGTTCGATGGATGCAGCTGATAGAAGGAACAGCTTGGCGTCCATTTGCATTCCCAACGGCGAATTGAAAATAAGTTGTATTTCGGTCCTTCACTAAGGTCACGACTGTTAATCAGAGCCACGGAGGATTGAGGTGTAGGGTGTAGACTTTGCCAGTTTATTGGTCTGCTGTTAGGGCAATAAATTACCAAATATAAGCAGCAGAAACCATAAAATGAGAGCCGTTTGTATCATTCATTTTCAAATTTATATGCGGAATGAATGAGGCTCTTAAGAGTCCACATTATTTCTCTAATTGCCAATTGCCATTTCAATGATTGGCTGCCTTCATCCTGCGACAATATAAAATGCCAAGGTAATTAAATATGCATGACGATTGAATTTAATATTTTAAGGCAAATTTTTAACTAAATAAGCTAAGCCTTAGCTTTTGTTATTGCGAATACGATTTCACGAATTACAACGATAATTTTAGAATTACATTTAAGCCCTATGAAGCTGATTCCCTGGAATCAAAAGCTATTTTCAATATTGCAAAATTACATATTGATACGATTTATATTATCTGCCCTTGACAGCTACCGTGAAGTCCATATAATCGAGTTAAAGTGTAGGGGCAGTCGGGCTGCTTCTACTTTTCTCTCATACTTTGCTTTGTCGCGTTCATTCGTTTAAAAAAAGCTTCAGGCTTTAAATGCATTTCTTGAAATCATAAGTAAAGCAGACGAAATTGGGTTTTAACTTCGTATTCTTCTTCTACTACCTTGATCTTAGCTGGTTTAGCTGAATTAATTAACTGCGCCAACGGACAAGAGGGCATAGCATAGTTGCTGGCACAATCGAATTTTCGAAGTTACTTTTTGTAGCTACAATTGCTTTAGGTTGCTGTTAAGGCCAATTGTTAAATCCACGCGAGTGCACATTAAGCAGAAATCAGCAGGGATTTAGTGAGTCAGTCATGCAGCGCATCATCAACAGCAACAACAGTGGCAATACCAACCAGCATGATAATCAAGTAAGCCAGTCGCTGCTTTGAACTGCTGTCTGCTCGTTTGGCTGTGTCCTACGGCTATGTAGAGCACATGTGCCCAGTACACCTTGGCTGAAAAGAGCAGCAAATTGAAATTGGACTTTTGTTCAACGAGTTCAAATGGCGTATAATGAAATTCGATTCGCTTAAATTTCGAAGTTGAGCTGCAAATGAAATAAAAATCAGCGAAATTCGTCGAACAAATAAAACGGACAACGTCAGTTTCCAACAGATATGGTTACAATTGTCTACATTTAAGAGAAAACTTTTTAAAATTCGCCCGGGGCTGACTTTCCGTTCGGTCCAACATTATTATTTTTTATGTGAAAGGGCAGTTATCATTGCGCAATGACCAGAGACCTTTTTAATCTTTTTTAAAGCGAACTTTGCTTTTGTATTGTAGGCAATCCATCAAGAGTAGTTTTCGCGATAAGGATAAGCCGTCGCGCTTTAAGGACTTGCAGACAACAACGCGTTTTCAGGTGGAACCACAAAATGAAGAATCTGACGCTTCAAATGACTCGCAGGAAGAGCGCGAACTGCTGGACAATGAATACGATACGAAATATGGTAAAAGTTTTAGGTAAGCCCATTAAATTTTCTAATATTTATTATTCTTGTTAATTGAATTTTCTTCATTCAGGCACTTTACGCGCGAAGCTTTGCCACGTCTGGATAATTATCGCAACATGATGTCCATACAGGCCGCGTACCGTCCAACGCTCGACGAGCTGCACAATGCAACGCTGGTGGGGAAAGTGAGTATCCTTTAGTGCTACTTCGCCTCCTCTGCCAGGCTATCTCAATTTATATTCATATAACGTAAATTTATTGCCCCATATTAAGTGCTCGGGGAAAATTTAAATTTAAACCAATTCGTGAACAATTTAACACCAGGCAACGGCCTGGCATCCAGACGGAAAAGTCACAGCCATTGCCAGAGCTTTTTAACCTACTCTTGTGCTTGACACTGCAAATTGAGACTGCCACGAGAAGTGTCAAGTAGCCTGTGGCAATGTGCTTTCTTCTGCTGCTTCCCATTCGTTTTGTGAAAATTGTACAGTGCCAGCAAAGTAGTCAACAGTTGGGGTCATTAGCATAGGGCGTGGGTTCGAGGAACGTTGCGCTCTGGCGCGTCCTCGGTAAGCAGACGAACGCTGCAGATTGTAAGAAACCACTGCAACCACTGAAACCGCTGCAGTCATCCAGACTGAAATGCAGCTCTTTTGATTTTAATTAAATGCAAACTAAATACAACATTGATTGCCATTTTTTGTGGTTCACGTCTGAGGCGAGGTCTCCGAGTCTCTCGAGAAACTTTTGGGGCCGCTGACTTTTCAATTGACTTTCGCGCTTGGCTTTTGAGTTCACACGTGTGGTTGGCGGGTAAGACAAAAAGCATTACAATATGTCACTGCTTGTTATTCTAACAGAGACTTTTTTCTGACGCCTTTCTTTGAGACTGACGGGAGGCTGAATTGAAAGTCCTTTTGTCAATGCCAACAGTTGAGAAGCGAAGACACGTTTCCTTTCTTTTGTATAGACTTAAAATAGATTCATTTGTTTGCATTTGTATTGGTAGCCATCGTCATATAAACACAATTTGTAATGAAATAAATTGCCACTAATTGCTTTTGCACTTTCGAATAATTGGGTTCGCGAATTCGCCTTGTAGTGGGCGTCAATTGAAATTGAAATGAAAAAGATCAATTGTTTGAAAGTTGAAAATTTGTGCAATTGTTTTCGATGCCATGAACCTTGATTAAATTGTCTTAAAAGTTAGCAAAATGTGTCCTTAAGTGTTTTTCAAGGAGAGAAAAAAGATGGATTATGCGCCAGATGCGTCTGCGGTTGCGTTGGAGTATGATTAATTTGACTGTAACTGCAAAGCTGTCAAGTGCTATAAGGCAGTTGACCTGCCATTAAGCTGACAGGCAGCGCTTCTGGAGCTTTTGAGGGGCAATCACACATTCCACCCACGAGCCATCATCTATCAACCGTATGCAGCTTTATTAGATCTGACTTTGTCTTTCCTTTTTCGCAGAACACGCACAGCCTACAACGCAATCGAGATCCGGAGGCAGGTAACACCAATGGGCTCCTCAAATTTGGCTGGATCAAAGGTGTACTCATACGCTGCCTGCTAAATATATGGGGTGTAATGCTCTTTCTGCGCCTCAGCTGGGTGGTGGGACAGGCGGGCATCATAGAGGGCTTTTTATTAATACTGACAACGACCGCTGTCACGACTATAACAGCGCTGTCAATGTCGGCGATAAGCACGAACGGCGTCATCAAAGGAGGTAAGTCCTGTATCATTGTCAGCCGCATCTGCCTTGTTGTTTTTAACTGATTTCTAATATGTTTACTAAGGTGGTACCTATTACATGATATCCCGCTCCCTGGGTCCCGAGTTCGGTGGCTCTATCGGACTCATTTTTTCACTGGCAAACGTTGTCGCCTGCGCCATGTACGTAGTGGGCTTCTGTGAGTCTCTGCAGGCCATGATGCAAGCCATGGATGTGTCAATCGTAGATGGTGGTGTCACGGACGTGCGCATAGTAGGTAGCACCACCATACTGCTGCTGCTGATTATCGTTGTCGTTGGCATGGAGTGGGAGGCAAAGGTGCGTATGATTAATTTTTGCCGTCTAATGAATTCCGCTCAGTTGCGCCTCTGTCCTGAAATGTTTAGGCTCAAATCGGCCTGCTTTTCATTCTATTGGCTGCGATTGCTGACTTCGTCATTGGCAGCTTAATTGGGCCCAAGAACGAGGGAGAGCGGGCCAAGGGCTTTATCGGCTACAATGGTGAGTAGCAGCCAACGCGTTGCCAGTGAACAAGCTTTTAATCAAATCTAATGTAGCAACGCTATTCCATACAAATCTGTTTCCGGACTACCGCACGGAGGGATATGTCAGTCACGATTTCTTCTCGGTATTTGCCATCTTCTTCCCTGCCGCCACTGGCATTTTGGCGGGCGCCAACATTTCGGGCGACTTGAAGGTGCGTCACGGTTTCGTCTAAGACAATTTATTAGCCATTTGCAGCTCTATTGTATTTTAGGACCCCCAAAAATCTATACCCAAAGGCACAATTCTGGCTATCGTTATCACTACAGGCACCTACATGTTCATGGTTCTGATCTGCGGTGGCACTGTGGCTCGTGACGCCACCGGCTATGTTGTGGATGCTCTGAACGGTTCTTTTGCGTTTCTAAACTGCTCGTCAAGTAGGCAACATTGTAGCTCCGGTTGGCTTAATGAAGTATTCTAATTAAATTTTGCACAGCGTCCACAGGTACTTGCCTCTATGGTCTGCAGAATTCATTTCAGGTAATCGAGCTAGTTTCGGGCTTTGGGCCGCTAATCTATGCCGGTTGTTTTGCTGCCACATTGTCCTCAGCCTTGGCCAGCTTGGTTTCGGCCCCGAAAGTTTTTCAGGTTAGTGTTTGTTATCTTTGCTGTGAGCCGTCCCATACGCTTCACAATTTGCATCTGTTGACAGGCTTTATGCAAGGATGAGCTGTACCCAAAAATTGTTTGGTTTGCCAAGGGATATGGCAAAAATAACGAGCCCGTGCGTGGCTACGTGCTAACTTTCTTTATATCCATGTTGTAAGTAACTCGATGGATATGAAAGAACGCAGAGTTTATAATGGATTTGCATGTGCATTACCATCCTGTAGCTTTATACTGGTGGGAGACCTTAACTCGATTGCGCCGCTCATCTCAAACTTCTTTCTGGCTGCATATATGTTAATTAACTTCAGCACATTCCATGCCAGTCTGGCCAAGCCCGTTGGCTGGCGGCCAACATTCAAGGTGAGTGTTTCTTGTTGACTTGATTGCAGATGTGTTCAATGCCTTTCACCTTTCCACCCAGTATTATAACATGTGGCTGAGCCTTTTGGGCTCCATACTCTGCGTTGCTGTCATGTTTTTGATTTCGTGGGCCACTGCACTCATTACCTTCTGTGTGGTGCTGGCGTTGTACTTAATTGTTGCCTATCGTAAGCCGGACGTTAATTGGGGCTCCACAACCCAGGCGCAGACCTATAAGAACGCTCTGATGTCCGTGCAGCAGCTGAACAATGTGGAAGATCACGTCAAGAACTACCGCCCGCAGATACTTGTTCTGTCCGGCCTGCCCAATACGCGACCTGTTCTCGTGGACTTCGCCTATATGCTGACAAAAAATCTTTCCCTGCTGGTTTGTGGACATGTGCTGCGGGGATCTGGATCGCAGAAGTATCGTAACTATCTTAAGGACCGCGCCTCCAACTGGTTCCAGAAACATCGCGTCAAGGGTTTCTATGCACTGGTTGACGGCGAGGACTTTGAGGCTGGCACGCGCGCCCTCATGCAGGCGACGGGCATTGGAAAGCTGAAGCCCAACATCATACTCATGGGCTACAAAACCGACTGGCAGACGTGTGAGCGCAAGGAACTGGTGCAATATTTCAATGTCATGCACAAAGTGGGTAGCAGCTGGATACTTTTTTCAGTTTAGAAGTTTCCATTTAATGCTGGTGTAATATTATAGGCTTTGGATATGTATCTCTCAGTGGCCATATTGCGTGTGCACCAGGGACTGGACTGCGCGCAGCTATTGGGCTCTCCGGATAGCAATTGGCCAACAGCCAACTGCAGTCTGGAGGTGCCTCGAACGCTGCAGCCCAATGAGAGCTCCAACGATCTGCAGGCTAGCGATGCACGCCATGGTCTCAGTGGCAGCGTGGACTCCTTGAGTCGCAATGTATCTCAGGGTAAGTTGGCTCCGGCTGATGCCAGCCACTTATTAATGCTGAAATTTTTAATTACTTTTGCATGGACTTCCAAAAACCAAATGCGCACCTGTGCACAATTAATCAATTATAATGTACAACCACCATTTATCAATGCACCACAAAACACAACCCAACTGCAACTGTAACCACAAACTCTTAGATGCCGCCAACAAGTTGGCTTCCGCTGGCAATGGCCTGAAATTTGTCAAAAGTAAGTATTAGCTGCGAGAGCAAGGATGAGAAACTCATTGTTTATTATTTCTATAAATGTTCGCTTTGATGCTGAGTTCCCTTTGCGTGTGCCTTACCTGTTCCCATTCCATTTTCTGTTCCATTTCCACTTCCGGCTCCGTTTCTACTTCTGTTTCTTTTTCGTAGTACGTTTCAAGCAAAGCCTGCGTAGAATACGCTCTTGGGCAGGTGATGTTGAGTGTAAGATCTATTTTACGTGTTTTAAGGTAATTGATTGGAATGTGAAGTGATGTTATAGTAGGTTTGCTGCCAGTAGGTAACTATATGTATGAGCAGACTTTACGGCAAAAAGCGCCAACTCCCAGCCCAGTTCCACGCCGCGCACTGTGCATGTTCTGCATGCATAATGGCTTAACTTCTACCCTAGCCTGGTCTCATTAATTGCTATTGTCGCATGCAACCAATTCATAACTAACTAAAAACTATGTAAAGATTGACCAGCCGACCACTGACTGCCAACTTGTTCTTGGGCCAACAACGAAGAGGAATCAACGTCGTCGGTGCCACAAACGCAGTCGCAGCCGCAGCCGCAGTCAACGCCAGCTGTGACAAAACCCTTTCGGCAATTTGTTGCGCCCAAATTAGGGAATGCCCGTAAATTTGAATATAAATTTATACAATGTCCCCTAAAAGCACGAACCCAAAACTGTGCGGACTACATGTGGAGTCGTTTCAAGGCCGCAGCCTGAGAAATGGTGCCGTGGGGTGGCAACGGCGGCACAGCACGTGCATGTTTTAAGCATTGTTTTGCATAACATTTCCCAATTTGAAAATAAATTGTGTAAATATGCGAATGGGCAACAAAGAATAGCATAAAACTGTATTGTTTATGGCATTTACTGAAAATTGTTACTATGTGGCCTGGTCTTAATAATTTATGCTAGTTCTAATTACCTTCGCATGGGCTTTGTATAGCACTCGATACCTCTATTTATGACTTTTGGTATATTGAGATATTATTCATTTTCTATACAACCCACAGCATCCAGTACGAGTGACTTATCATTCATAGCAGGTAACCAGGTGAAGGACGTATCCGGATTGCCCGATCCCCTGGATGCCAAGACCTCAAATGAGCAGGTAAGTGGGCCAGATCATTGAGAGATAAATTGTGCTCAATTTGCCGACACATACACCTATGCACATAGCCCAATTCACTAAGGAAATCGAAGGCGAAACACGACGATCCCGTCTCGCTCTACAGAGGACCAGGCGGTGTGGAGCTACCTAAAGATGTGCTGGCTGACTTGACTCAATTTACGCGTAAACGGAGCCATGCCATCATCGACGTCTGGTGGCTGTACGACGATGGTGGGCTCACTTTGCTGTTGCCTTACATCATAAGCACTCGACGCACCTGGCAATCATGTAAATTGAGGTAAGCCGCAAGTAAGGGCAATTCGAGGGGAAGCCAAACCATGCCCACGCCCATGCCCATGCCCAGTACAAAAGCCGAATTGTTTACCTCCCAAGGCGTTTTGGAAGCCTGCAGATATGCGAGTGCGGATTTATAAGGCATGAGTTGAATTTTATTCAAATATGCCAAAGCGAGGCAGGAATTTCTCTTATGACAGGATACTTTTCAGCGAAGTTCCACGGGGGTTGCTCGTTGAAATACGAAGACCGGGCAGGTACAATAAGTAGCTTCAGCAGGCTCCAGAGAGTAGTAAGCATGCCTAATGCAAGTCTCAGTTCGACTGACTGACTGACAGAGGCAATGATTGCTTGTGAGCAGATGCCAGTCAAATAGGTCATCACGATAGCTCTCCATAGTTGTTGTCTTCAAAATATACGCAACCAATTCCGGCAAAGACTGACAGAAAGAGGTTTGGGGCACCCATACCAACTGGACTGACGCAATGATGCGTAAGTATAACATTTGGCACGTCAAGTGTATCGAATGGTTTGACTTCTCGTTTGGCACATTTTATACTCTGTTTTTCAATGGGTGTATGGGTGTATGAGACTTGCGTATGATTTCATCTTTAAATATCGATAAAAACATTCTTCAATTTGAGATATGTTTCATAACTATCCATAATCGAGTGGAGGTACAGCATTTTTCTCTCTGTAACAGAGTCACAGTTAGTCGTAGCTTTCCGCAATATTGCATTTTTGTGTTTCATTATTGACTTTCTGCGCGAGCGAGTTCTTTACAGATGAAAGGGTTTCCGGCAATATTTGAAAATTAAAATCGGTCACTATCAATACATTTTATCTAAATTGGAATTGCTCTGTCACAAACAAAAAGTTGATACGGTTTCCTTTTCTATTAACTGCACAGGGTTTATGCGTTGGCGAATAAAAATTCGGAATTGGAGTATGAACAACGGTCTATGGCCAGTTTGCTGTCCAAGTTTCGCATTGATTACTCTGATCTAACATTGATACCGGATATTACGAAGAAGCCTCATGAAACATCGACGCAGTTCTTTGATGAGCTCATTAAGGACTTTGTTGTGAGCGATAAGGAGAATGGCCACAGCAGCAAGGCGACGCTGAACGAGGACGAAGGTAATGCTCACTGATCAGCAATTCTGAATTGTATAAAACAGACTTTTCCATTTGTTTACCCCAGCTCTTATTAGTGACGATGATTTGCTGGCCGTTGCGGACAAGACGAATCGCTATCTGAGGCTGCGTGAATATCTGCGCGAGCAGTCAACCAAGTCGGACCTCGTGGTGATGACGCTACCAATGCCACGCAAGAACATCGTCTCGGCGCCCCTCTACATGGCCTGGCTGGAGAGTCTCAGTCGGGACATGCCCCCCTTTCTATTTGTGCGAGGCAATCAGACGAGCGTACTCACCTTCTACTCGTAGACGCGGTCCCCGTCTGTTCTGTATTTTTGCTTATAACCGAAAACTCACTCTTCTTAGTTATACAAGTACAAGAATTTTATGTTATTCTAGTTGTACCATAATTGTATTTATATTTATATAGACATAAACATATACGCGCAACCGCCAATCCCAATACCAACTCTAAAACCAAACAAACTCCATGACGCACACAGACGATTAAATTTTATGCAGACTTTTATTCGTCCCTCCTTTTGTATTATATTTGTGAAGAATTTCCTAAAAAGATATTTTAGTGTTTTTCCTTTTGTTTTGGCCAGTTACGTGCGTGTGCTTGTGGCTATTAAACATTGGCGTCTTATCCCAAAAACAGTTAGCTCCCACGCAGTTCACGTTTGACTCTCAATTGCATTGGCGTGTAATTGAAATAATGTCTACCTCAATTCACGCTCGAGGGCTACGAGGCCGATCAATGCTTAAGGCTTTCGGCTTGCCACTCGGCATATTAATTTCTTCATTTTGCATTTAACTGTCGCGGTTGTTCTGTTGACCATGCCCCTTGACCCGGCACAGCAAATTCGAAATGCGATTGCGATTCAATGAGCGTGACAGCCACAGCGGTCGACCCCAAAAGGGCAGTTTGGTTACGACTCGTAAACTCGCAATTCAATTTATTACAGTGTAACTTTGTTTTAATTTTAAATGAGTATGTCGCCTCTGGAATATTATATTAAAGACCGGGGCAGCTAACCTCACATCTACGCAGCTTTAAGTGTACTTTTCCTTTTCACTTATCTGCCGTTCAGCATTTATCATATAGATCTTTATGTGAGCCTAGAGTTTTCTTTAGATTAATTTAATTTATTGTTTGTGCTTAAATTTAAATTGAATTTATTTTGTCATGCATCTTGCTTTATGTTCGCTCGTGTTCATTTTGATAAAGTTCTTGACCCGACATGTCATCTACCAATCAATCTATCTGTTAATTACGTTTTGCGCATGTCATTGTCTATTTTATTGCAACAATTCCTTCGGTCACGCTATCTGAAGAGTTCATTCAGTTGGAAATCATTTTTCTTGTTGTCTCTTTAAATATGGCGCCGATGGCTTTCGCATATATAGCATAGTTTATTTATTAAATTACCAGCACATCACCATTTCATAGTTTTCGCATCGTCGAATAGAAATGTAATATATTTTGTATTTTTGCATAAATTTCAGTTTTGCATAACTCAATAAACTTGTTTCATAGCCTTTATTTAGTTACTGCACTAACCGTTCCGTCCGTTGATATTCATTTAATTTTAAAATTTACTCTGTTTTTTTCAGCCGAAATTCAATGCATGAATGCATCACTGACAAATATTTTAATTTCTCAAGGATGGCACTGGTTCGTTTGTGTATTCATTCACACTTTTCGAGGGGCTCGCATATTTCATACACGTCTATCGCTCGTTAGTTCTGCACATTACTGTAACCCAAACAATGTGGGAAATCGCAGTATTATTTATGTAACACTTTTTCTACTATTCGTTTTTCTGAATTGCTGATTTGGTGCGAGCGCAGACAAGCTCAATTTATATTAACATCAAACTAGAATAAACGTATTTCATCTCACTTCAGACGAGCACATGCCTCGTATACGTAACATATCGCTTCTAGTGCAAGTGACGCTGAGTAATTACCACCAATGCTTGGCACCTCAAGAGGTAATTAACTGCCGCTTGGCGAAATGCTTGACTACATGCGTACGTACATGATACTTGTATTTGAGGGTAGCTAAATGCCTAAAAGTATGCAGCATATAATAAATTTGGCCACGCCCAATCCGCAACACACAGAAACTTTATTACAACAAGTATGAGCATGTGTGGCTGTATGTTCTGGCGTCTAATGAGCTAAGTTTCACATGCGAGCTACCGTCGCTTAAATCAATTAAGTTTTTCCATGGTCCAAAGTGAAGTCGTGCGTGCCAAAGTGTTTGTTGTGTGCGGCTGAAGCCACTCGCCCATCAATTTGGATGGCCGCTTAAGCATTAGACGTGATGTATTTGTCGCATACTGTTAAAGTTAAGGCAAGTTTGTTGTTTGATTTCTCACGCATAGCTGCTACTTGATCCAGATAAACCCTCTTATAGCAACTCAAAGAGTTCGTTTCTATAGAAATTTGATCCACAATGACAGGAAGCTTAAGAAACTAACAAGCGGTAAAGTGAAGAATTTTGTTTATGCTAACATTACAATCCTTTTATTTGCAAATAACTTTACTCCTATTATTGGTTGTAACGGGGGAGTCCTTAGACTGAAAGTGATGACAGCCTCCAGCAGTTGTATGAGACGCAGACACACAAAAGTTGTTATTCTTGCTTAGTTGTTCGTTCAAACGTTCAGACAACTGTTGCCCTATCGGGTTTTTCGTATGTATATCTTGAGCCTTCTTCATAAATCGCATTGAATTGCTGCTGCTGCTTAATTTAAACGTGTTGTACACATGTCTATGGCTGAATGGCTACACGACTCTGGCTTGCTGTGTGGCATCAAGTGCTTTGGCTTTATGGCTTTTACGAACGAAACATATGCGTCCTTAACAAGAGAGACTTAACGTTTAAATTATATGCAAAAAGTTTTCGAACAACCATAGGAGAAAGACTTTACTCAAATTAATCGCTGTAGGCTGGTTAATTGTTCTTTCCCATCAGTTAGCTGTTTGTATTTTAATGATTTGCCTATCGCCAAAGTATAAGTATTTAGCCGTAAAGCCGCTTACCTCGAGCCCCCAATTGTTAGTCGTCGGTTTTTTTAACAACGTTTTAATCTTTTTATTGTCACAAAATTGTTTTGTAAGCCGCTTTCAAAGACTTGTTAATGCTAAAACGACAAATTTTCTACGCATCAGAATGGAAAACTCTTCATACTCATGAACTCTCGAAAATTTGATTGTAGTCGTAGGACAGAACGAATCTCATAAGCCTTTCTACCGCTTGTTCAGTCTTAGCACTGGATCAGGAAGATAACTTCTAACTGGGAACTGTAACAATGAAAGGCCAAAGCGATACTAAGTTAATCCTATTAGTCAGCTATTATTGCTATCAAGAGCGTATATGTTGAAGTACTTCACATGAAGAGCTGAGCTACACTCACGAACTCCTGACTTTACCAAGAAATTAATAGCTTATCACAAAATTCACGGAATGCTGCCATTAACTGTTTTCTTTCCTTTCCCAAAATTTGGGCCAAAAATACGCCGTTTGTTGAATTCAATGTTTCAGTCTCTCCTGGGTCCTACGCACGAATGCCCAATAAGTTTGAGCACACTAAAGCTGCTCGACTTGAGTTGAATTCGTTCGACGGTCCGGTTCATGCATGTCCTCTGACCTACATCAATAACTCAGTTTTGTGGTTGGCACGGTAATTAAAAATTGAAGGCACTCATGTACAACGCACTTTCAGTACGAGCTTCCAGTACATAAATCAATTGGGTACGCCAAATACCACGTGCAGCTCGTAAAGGCTACCGCCGCATTAAGCTGTCAGCACGACGCGTCCGCAGCCATAATTACGAATTCCAGGCCACACATTGTACTCCTAAATCAAACGCAATGCGGAAACCTTAATGTGACCGCAATCGCGGCGAGTTATCACGCAACAACGTCGAGGGGGTTGCGGTGACCAAGGGACACTGCGCGTCTACCGCATGTAGCACAACGCGGCGTATGCGTATCGGCTAAGTGTTAAAGGCGAACGGCAGTCTGCTAAGTTGGACGCCACAGTGCAAATTTTGCCAATGACTTATGCAAAATTGAAGCTTCAGCATATACTTCTGAATACTTTGAGCCGTAATTAATTGGGTGGCGCTGACTTGACGTATTGCCAGCCAAGTGATTTGGCAAAATTTGCTCGTAGTGTTAAAGTGGGTCGGAACAAGGAAGCGCTTTAAATTAAATAAATAAACATTCTTCTTTGTGTACAAAATTTGCCTATACCAAACACAGTAAATAGTATGAGTAGGGGTATTCATGAACTCAAAATCCGTGGCTTGCCTTAAGACGGCTCCCAGGCTCTCGACAACGCTATCCCCAATGGATGCCAGCAAGGCAAACTTTTCATAGCAGCTATTCTGGGGTTGGTTGGCTAACACCTCCACGACGGCTCGTGCAGTATTGTATATTCCTAGGCGTAGCATTATGTTTTGAAAATTATATTTGACACGCGTTTATCGCATAAATATTGCGCGTGTATCTGGCTGGTTTTATATGCGACGCAGTGAATACATGTACATATATATATATATATAGAGTATATATAGATCTGTATATATATATAGACGTGTACTTGTATGTACTACATATCAGTACTTGGACATTCCCGGCCGCTCAAGTGGCTGTCCATAAACGTGCCTTTATTTACTGCCACCATCATCGAAGGGACGACGGGCAGAGTTGCTCTCTAACCTCTTGTATCTTGGCTACAGCAGGACAGGGCCTATGTCCTGCAGACGAATGGATCGATAGCGAGCATTCGCGACGCATCGTCATTTGCTGCCTCATAAAGCAACGTAGTTTGTTTGCTAAGCTTAAGCATCGCCGCAACAAGGCAGCCTAAATTATTAACTAAGCAGTTACATCTTGCTGTTGCGGCCATAAGAAGCATTGGGAGCTCTGGCTGGCACAAGCCATGGTTTGGTTAAGGGCCCGCGGCTGTTGCTGAAAATAAAGCACTAAACATTTTTAATGAAGCTCGAAAATCGAAAGTTTACATTTGGCTGCTGTGGACAAGAAGACTTCACGCCTTCGGGGACTATCGCATCGAACAATTTCCAAAGACAGCGACAATTGCAAAATTGTGTGTCACGTGTATACAATAAAACGTCGTCGCCTGAGCAGCCAGTGGACGGGGCGTGGCAAATGTAAGCATGAAAATTGTAGAGCTTACTTTTCAAAGCAGCAATTTGCACGGCTCGCATGGGACGTGAAATGAAAAAGTTGTAGCCAAGTGTTGCTGGCAAGAGGAAGCGGAACTGGCATTAGCTAAAAGTTATGGCAAATTAGCAAGACGAAGACACAGTTCTCTTATTTAGCGTATGTATGTGGTGTAGGCAACTTCCTTGTA